ATCTTTTTAAAAGCTGTTTTATATTATTAATAACTTCTTTTAATTAAAGTAAAATAGCAGTTTTTAAGCTTATATACAGGCTTTAAAAAAGATTATCTTCTACCACCAATCCTAAAAAATAGGGACTTTTTTTTAAAGAGTTAGATATAAAATAATCTTCTAATTCTTCGCAACACGCGTAATCTTAAGATTTAAAGGGGAAAAAAAGATCTGGCTTAAAAAGCTTATCTTAGTTTAAGTATTATTATAATTTATAAAGATCTAAAAAACAGAAAAAAAGGGCTTAATAGTATCCTTTAAAAATAAGCTAAATAAATATAATTAACTTATAATTCTAAAACTACTCTGTAAGTAATAGATATAGAAAGATAGAAAAAAAAAAACTCTATAAAAGTAGTTTGTTTTATTTTAAAATATACTTTTATATAAATATAATCTATTATATTTTAATATACAGCTAAGGCGCCTGCCGCATCTTATCTATTTTATTAAATCTAATAAGTAGAAAATTATATCTAAAGCCCAGAATTATAAGTGCTTAGAGCCAACTAGATAAAATAAATTAAAAATCTTATTTTTATATTTAGAAAAAACTTTTATAGAACCTACTATAAAAAATATAATATCTAGTATTAAACTAGATAGTTGTTGGAAAGTATATTTACTAAGAAAGACTAAATAAGTAGTATAGCACAGAATCTTAAATAGATTTAGATTAACAGAATATTTAGAATTATTAAAATTAAAAGAATTAAAGGGATTAATTAGATTAATAGAGTAATTAAGATTAGTAGTATTAAAAAGGTTAACTAGATTAATAAAATAATTAAGATTATTAGGATTAAAAGAATTAATTAGATTAGGTGTAGAGATTTATACTATAATATATACAGTCTAAATAAAGCAGTAATTATATATCTTTATATATATTTCTTACTATAAAAGCAATAATTTTGTTAAAAGCTGGAATTTATCAGTACTACTAAAAATTTCTTATTATTTTTTAAAGATAGAGATAAAAAAAATAGTAATATTTTACTTAGTTGCTTTTATTTAATTTAAAAAGCTTTCTTTTATATGCTTTTAGGCAACGGTTAAAATAATCAGATTAATAATCTGTTAATCTAAATATACTTTAACTGTATTAAAGCTAAAAAAGATATAGCAGATAGGTTTTAGTACTAAAAACAGTTAAAACAGTTAACCGCCCGATTTTTGGCTATACCGCGGTCAGATATAAAAATTTCCTTAACCTGGCCATAACCTGGCGGTTAGGTATAAAAATTCCAATTAACCTGACCTGACCTGGCTGTTAGCCACTCTAAGTATAGGAGTTAATCTTACAGCTAAAAGTTTTTATATTAGTATAACTATATTAGAATATATTAATAAACTAAGATACTTTTATGTAACATAATCGGACACCGAGCCGGTGCGACACCGAGCCGGCGCCCGCCGCACCGTGTCTTGCATCCTCAACATCTTGAAGTTGAAGAACTCTCCTAAATTACCCTATTTATAATATTTTATAATTTTTTTAGTATTTCTTTTTATATATTAATATGGCTGATATAAATAAATGTTTAAATCTTACTGTTAAGATCTTTAAAAGTAGGAAGTTCTCTACAAAAGCTGCCTGCGCTGCCGCGTTTAATATTAAAATAAGCACTTTTAAAGATTGTTTAAATAGTATTAAATTATATACAGAAAAAGATGCTAATAGTAGAAAGCTATCTATAATTAAAAAAAATATATTAAAGCAGTAGCTTTTTAATATAGCTTATTATAAACTGTCTTTTAAAATCTGCAATGCTCAATTCTCCGCCCAGCTGCTATATTAAGCAAAGTTAAAGCCAAATTAATACAGTACTATATCAGAATATTAGATTACTTACTATATCAAACATTATCTAGAACTGATATTTAAATTTATATTAAAGTATAATTATTAATATACTAAATGTAAGAATCCTTATCTTATTTAAAGATAGTTTAACTTTGTTTGCAATACAGTCTAAAGATATAGTATTTTTAATAAAGATATATAGAATATAGATAAGACTGGATTTTAAATAGAAGTTGCTTTAACCGCTTATATAATCTGTAGCTTGGAAATATAAGAATTACATACAAAGTATATACAGCCAGAAAACTATAAATAAGTGACTTTAATTATTATAATATTAGTCTTAGAAACAGTCCTGCCACCGCAGATTATTTTTACAGCGCAGAATTATTAATTAATATAGTACAAAATCTGTCTAAGATCTTATTATCTAAGTATTAGTAAGAATAGCTGGACTACTAATAAGCTTAGTTTTAACTGGCTTTAGAATATATTTAACCGGTATACAGCTTTAAAAATTGTTAGTAAGTATTATATATTAATTCTTAACAGCTATAGCAGTTATATAATTTAGCAGTTTAATTAGTTCTGTACAGCACAGAAAATTATTTTTTTATATATACCTATTTATTTATTTTATAAACTGCAGCCACTTAACATCACTTGCTTTAGGCTATTAAAAAAATTATATAGCCAGTATATATCTAAAACTATTTATTATAAAAAAAAATTAATTACTAAGCTTAATTTCTTACAGTTATATTATAGTATTCACGCCAAGGCCTTTTCTAATATTAATATACTTAGTAGATTTCGTGCTACCGGCCTTATTTTTTTAAATTCTTAAAAGGTGCTTTTAATACTACAGATTTAATTAAAAACACCAACTCTACTAATATTCTTACATTCTAATTAGTCTTTCTATCTTAGAAAAACATCTGTAAATTTATATAAACTTAGAAGGCAGAGACAAGAAATACAAAAACTTATAGATTAAAGCCTAGCGTCAATAGTTTCATACAAAGTTATTAAAAAAATAATTAAGGCTGCAGAATAGTCTATACAGAATACAGTCCTACTTTAATAATAAGTTAAACAGTTCTAATCTATACAAGCAAGTAAAAAAAAAAAGGGAAAGGCCTTATACTGTTATATACAGTAGGAAGGTACTTTAACAGGCTAAAAGGGCTTTAATATAGCTTAGATATAAGAAAATAAAGCAATTCAGACTGTAGTACCAAGACCGGCCAGGGCACGCCGGCCAGCCCGCTACAGTATATATAAAAGTAAAAGACACAATTGTTTAAAATATCCTTATGAAAACAACAAGAATTGATGTATATAGCCTTTTTTTGGTGGTTGAATAGCCTTAGGAAGCGGCCAGCAAGGCAGTCAGCGAGGCGGCGGCAGACCGCCGCCGGCTCAGTGTCGCGCCGGCTCGGTGTCCGATTACATTACTGTAATAGCTTTATTATAAAAAATCCAACAATCACAGCCTGCTTTTTAAGTATACCTTTTTTATGGATAATTGAATAAATAGCGGAGAAGATCTTATTAGTATATTTAAAATTTAATAACTAGTTTAAATATTTTTTTAGTATATTTTTTAATAACAAATTTGTAAGCTACTCTTCTATTAATATAGACTATTATTTCTATATATTAAAGTATTCTATATCTAGGGCTAGATGTAGTAGTGCAGTATTAATAAGACCTTCTACTTAGTAGAAACAGAGATTTGTTTTAATAGTATGATTTTAGATATTCTATTTTTATTTATTAATAAAAAGTATTAAAATATTGGGCAGAGTGTCTGGCAGCCTGTTTAATAAAACTTTATATTTCTAACAATACTAAGTATTTTAGTAGTTAGTAGTACTGTTGCCGGTTCCAGACTGTATATCTAATATTTTAACTAATGTCGGCAGCTTTGCTGTACTATAATTATAATTTTAGTATTATTATTCATATGTTTTTTAGTATAAATTATTAATAATATGTAGATAGAGAAAGAGAGTATGGAGATGATACTGGATCTTATTAAAATAATATTAAATAATATTATTAATAAAAAATAGGCAAAATTGAGCAGCCGGGCTCATAACCTGAGAAAGCGTGAAGATGGATGGATTCCAGGCTATCTCTATGGAACTAACTAAGGGCCACCGAAGGCGGTGAGCTGCCCAGCCAATCAGGCGAGGCCTTGACAGGAACAAAGCTGCAGATCGGCGCTCCTGTATACGATCCGGTCGCGGGGCATGGGACCGATCTCGCCGACGTGGGGATACATAAGTTTCTCGATTAGCACGTAGTCTTGTTTTCTCGATCTCACTCGCGGCTGTGCGAAGTCGGTAGCTGACCTGCACGAGGCTCATTGAGAGAGCCCAGAGCAAAAGGATGTGTTGAGTGGAGCATTGAGCAGGGTACGTGAGGCACTAGGGCTGCTGATCCCGGCGCACACCTCGGAGCAACCCATGAGCGGGATTCGGGCCTATAATATTTTCGTCTGAGATTCAATCGTAGAGGCCCAGTTGCTTGACTGTGAGGTAGAGGTAGTGCTAGGTTGAATGGCAGTGGTGAGACCATGGACCAAAAAAGATAAAAAGCTGTGCAAATGTTGACATCGAGGAACTATATTATTTGTTATCCACCGAAAGCTGCTTGATTCAGATGGTGTGAGCTAACCCGGTTCTGAATATCGTTGCAATGCCTGCATTATGTCCTTTCAGCGTCTGCCCTTAACCCAGCTATAGACGAGGATGATAGTCCTCTCACTGGAGCCGTGAAGATACCGCTTGTGAAAGCCAATGCAACACATTCCAAAGACGGAATTCAGGCACTTCCTGGACATAAGCAGCATCAGTGTGGATACTGGCCAGTATCATACACTACTAACGGCCAGGAGTCATGCCGAGTCATGGTATGTCACACACCAGAATTCTTATGCAATGTAGATCACCCGGTCTGAGTTGTAGAACACAACCCCTGCATCGAGCATGAAAATGTGTAGTCACCTCAACCTACCCGTGCTTTAATGAATGAGCGGTGAAGGGCTTGCCTTCCAGAGAGATACCTATTTCTACTGGAGGCGCCCTGGTGGCTGCTTTCTCAAGCAGCCGTTCTGTACCTTTCAGCCACTGTCGCAGACGCCAGCATGTTCTTCATAGCCGTGTTCATTCTTGCCGTATGCCTCGCTGTTATCTCATATACCCTGACAACAGTCAGCAACCTGCCGGCGCCAGACTTCCCATCTATTCCACCATGGCAGACGCTATCCGACATCGTTGCCGGCATGACACGAGCGGAGTCGTACGATCATGGGATGCGACCCATCGTCGAAAAGCATGGCGCCGTCAACATCTGGCAGGGCGGTCGCTGGGTCGTTGTGGTGACGCGCCCCGAACTGGTGACCCAGGTCTTCCGCAACGATGATATCTCGCCAAGGGCGGAAACATTAAGAAGCTGCCCTACAGCGTCTTTGCCCGCCTTTTCGGGGTCAACATCATCGACTCCCATGGTGCACTTCACGACTCCTTCACCGAGATCATCAAGCCGGGACTGCAGCGCAAATTTGATCTCCACCCGGTGCGAGCCAGCTCGCAGCGGTTGGCGCAGAGCCTGCAGCAGCAGCAAAAGCACCGGCCCGGGTCGAGGGTGGAAATCCAACATTCGACTCTCAATTGGGCGATCGACGTCGTCGCCGACAGTCTCATGGATTTGAGCCCGGAGCGCATGGCGGAGCATCGTCCGGCTGTGCATGAGGCGATGCATCGGTTCCTGACCGGAATCTCGACGAAGCTCCAGACGTTGCTGTACAGTGTCTTCCCAGGCCTGGAGCGTTGGCCGTGGCTGATGCCCTCGGGCGACTACGGTATTCGCATTGTGGATACCCTAGAAGCTCGCATCCAGAATCTGGCCGAGATCGCCTCCCAAGACCCCAGCCTGGCAGCATCCCACCAGCCTTCACACTACGATAACGAGAAATTGATCCATCGCCTGCGGCGCGCATTGGAGAGGGGGGATATATCCAAGGACCACTTCCGCGGCAACCTGAACCAGCTCTTCATCGCCGCGGTGGAGAACATCGACATCGTGCTCAACTCCGCCATGTGGGAACTGGGGAAGAACCCCACGCTGCAGAATCGCCTGCGGCAGGAGGTCCTCGCGTGGCTGCCCGCCAACAAGCAGACCGGGTATTCCGAGAGCGATCTCGACGCGCTCCCGCTCCTCACAGCTACCATCTACGAGGCTCTTCGCTTGTACCCGCCTCTCATCAACCTGATCAACCGATCCACGACCCAGCCGGTCTGCCTGGGATCCACGAGCAGCCGCCCCCTCCCGACGGGGACCTGGGCCGGCTGGCACGCATACGGTACGCACACCGACCCCAGTGTCTGGGGGGCCTCCGCGCGGGAATTCGACCCCGATCGCTGGGGCTGCGACCCGGTCTCGATTCGCAACATGTTTCGCTCGATGCAGGTCAAGGGGAAGTACCTCCCGTTCACGACCCACGCGCGCCGATGTCTGGCCAGTAAGTTCGCCATCACCGTGCTCAAGATCGCCCTCTGTGAGCTGCTCGTCGCGGTCGAATGGGAGCGAGATCCCGAGTATAAGTTCGAGTTGGTCAAGGTAGGGTTGCGCCCCCGCTTCGGTCCGGAACAATGGTTACTAAGCATTATATAGGGTGTACTGATGGGCCCACGCAACTGCAGGCTTTTGTTTAAAGAGAGGAGTGACAAACCATCTGGTGCCTAAGACCTGCGATCTGCAGTCCCGTATAATTTACTATTTGGAACAGAGACTCGAGACATAAAGCGTAGAATCAGCTACGGAGAAATGTACAAGCCTGGTCTGGCACGACTCCTTCCCATTCTGTTTGCCGCGCTTGCTTGTAGCCTCGTTGGGCCTCGAACTCGCCCTCAAAACTTGACTTCAGTCTCCAAAAAATCGCCCATTGACACTAGCAACCCGCCTACACGGGTTCAATGTAATCGGAATGCTTAGGCTGTCAAGCTATTATCCGACTAAGATGACACGAGGTCGTTGCCACAGGGTAATCAAGACCCAGCCCATTCCTATCCAGGATAGGTCCCTCAGTTCTTCTTCGCGCGACTATACTCAGATTCCTGCTCGGCACAGATGAACCCCATGATGACCTACTTTGCCCATTTGAATCAAGAGTTAGCTTTTGCTAAGGGTCTTAGTTTTGGTGCATGTGTGATAATATCTCACCCGAGAAGGAAATCCGGGCGTCCGAATTCTTGTCGCAGAACTCGAAGAAGTCGGCAAGACTCTCTTTCTTCTCGCCGGTGGCGTCGACTAACACTGTGCGGACACATTTCCTGCAGGACTGTCAGCAGCTTGGATCGATCAATGACCAGAGATTAGGCGGAGGGACAAGGCGGCTTACCGTTCGCGTCCTTGTCCTGCGTGCTTCGAGGGAGGTTATCCGATCAGCAACCATGGACTGCGAGAAGGAGGCTTAGAGAGCAAGCTTACAGCAATGTAGAAATATTGGATCCATTCCTGGATAGTATCCAAAGAGTAAACGATATTCTGGGAGGGCATGTCAGCACCATGTGAAAGTGACTCCCCCGAACAGAGAGCAAGCGAGGGGGGGTCAAAGGTGAAAAGCATGGCGGGACGTCGGACATCGGGGTTCCTCTTCTTCAGGACTTCCTCGTACAACGGCCGCACTGCTCGGCTTTATTCTCTTTCTCGGAATTGGTACGCTGGGCGTCCAGCTTCTTGATCTCTTCTAGGGCGTCCTGGTAATTCTGGATGATTTGGGAGTCCATGGTTTTGTTCTCGGGAGAGAGGGGGTTCTTCGTTCGGGAATTTAAGTGATAATTTGAGATTTGGGAAATGATTAACCAAAGGATCCGAGAAGCGCGGGGGTGTAAATATAAGCTTATGTGGTTTTTACACTGAAATCGAATCTACTCAAAAAAGCCACTGCCATCGCCACCATGAACATCACGGTGTCCGGAACAGGTCTTACCTGTGTCACCGACAAGAACATTCAATCAACCGAGAAATGATTTCGGCGTGGGTCTTGGGTGAACTGGGAGATGCTCTTCGTAGAAGATGTCACCATCCACTTCTTCCACATATGGCGATTCCGGTTCGAAATGAAGTATGCCTATGCCCTCATAGAAAATCCCTTATCCTGTCATTCTCGGTCTCTGCTTCAAATGTACAATCTAACAATTAGAAATTGTAGACACTCGATTTCTACAATGGCGATGAGGGATCTTGAACCGGAAACCCTCTGGACAACGAGGAGAATGCTAGGCCTAGTGAAAGGGGGACAGAGAGAGGGGGTCGACTGCTTGCGAGTATACAAGCTCATTCTCATTAAACGGGCTAGCTGGAGTTTGCCAATGTCTTCTTCTTTTGTCCAATCGCCACGTAATGATAAGAGACACTTCCGCGCAAGAATTTGATAAAAGATTATAGCCCCCAGATATGCGCATTCATCAAGTGAAACTCATAAACGTCTTGTTTCCCTTCCCATCGGCTCACCGAAAACTCAGGCACCATTCTATCCTCGTAAATAGTATCCGGTGTGATGGTGAAGCCTCGCGCCTTGGCACAACATGGGCAACGTGAGAGACAATGGCCATAGTATGATGTCGCGAGATCGGAGCATCTGGACCTGGATCAGTATAACACGAGGTCCATCGCAACCCTGTGACTCAAAATGGATGCCCATACCTGGATCTTGTACAACAACCACACTCCCGCGCGCAACATCCGCTGCGAGCCGCACATTCGCTTCGCTGCCAGTCTGAAAGATGCCAGCCGGGCTGGTTATGAAGGGATAAGTAGGCTCGCTTGGCAGGACCATCTGGGAGGTTTGAAAGCATATCATATCGGTAGTGCTCCGCCACCCAGATTGCTTCGCAACTTCCGTCCAGACACTGATTAGGGACTTGCCTTGGCGTAGTATCCTTGGATGACCGCGAGATTCGTTCTGTTGATTGATCCAGCAGCTCGGACTCTAGTGACGCGACTTTGTTTGGCGTCGCAGGGGACAAGGGGGCAGATGGGAGCCTTGGCTGATGTTCCATGGGAGGGGAATCGTCTTCAATCTGCAAAGCTGCGCGAGCCAACACTTGAAATAATATTCGCTGATCCGCCCTGATGAGCTCGTGGATGTGCAACAAATGCTTATAATTGCGAGCGCATTTCTCAAACTGCTTGAAGCGCAGTTTCTGGGCCTCGAGCCAGCGACCCTCACGCTCCAGTTTATTCTCTCGGTCTAATGGAGTACGTAGCATTCCAGCCTTTGCTGCTAGGGATCGAAGGAGTGGCATTGCTGGTTGTGTGGGTTTGTTTGGCGTAGGCTTAATCTGAAGATCGTTGATAGCAGGAAGGTTTCGACGCTCTGGGCGAGTATATGGTCATTTGAAGAGCTCATGATGACGGTGTTGGTCGGAATTAGAAGTGCATCACGTTTCCATTGCATCTTCGCCGGGAGGACCTTCAAGAAGAGCTAAAAGAAAATTGATTCGCCACACATGCGTCAGTCCCTCTTGCACCTGTAGGGAGCATATAGTCGACAATTGGAAAGGGCGGTAGCAAGCTCGTCCATGATGGAAAGAGACACGGGTTCGGCCTAGTTTGACTCCTTCCTATAATTATCACCTCGACCTGCTGTGATCTTGTCTCGCCCCAACCACATGACATGCTGCTTCCTCGATCACAAGTGGACTTTTGGCCCAGTTCCCTTACGATCAAGTTGAGCATACCCTGCCTTGCCAATATCGAGGCGGTCTGCGCCTGCAGGTCGACCGCCGGCAGAAGCTCTTCGGGCCGGGGGTTTATCTGCAATACTTACTTGACCTACCCATCGACAAGGACAAATATCATAATTAAAAGGATCTTCCATACAAGTCACACACTGATGTCCATTACACCTACAAGCAGCTTATAGATGCAAGATACACAGGTCAATAAAGTTGATGTTATGGTACTGGGATTGCTGCGGCTGCTCGGCAAGCCAAAAATGGATATATATATCTGCAAAGTTTTTTCTATGTTGTCGGGTGTTCTCTGCCACGCACCTGCCTTGTAGCCTCTGTGTTCACAATCTTAGATTCTCGCCATTGCCTCTGTCTCCTCCATCTTGGTCACAGCGCCTGCTCTCCAGCTCTCACCTCCTCACCCCCTCACCCCTTCATCTGCTCACCTGCTCATTTCTTGTTGACTTCACCAAAGTGGCCACAGACCACATCGGCATGAACCGAGAAGACTAAAATGTCTGCGGCATTCACCCGTCTTCGATACTTATATCAATCGTGTCCGATCACCCGACCCCCAGTATCAATAACTTGCCGGAGCTTTCTCCGGGCCCGTTTGGTGTTAAATAGTTAGTCCTCCTCTGATTATCCTGATAAACGTACAGGTGCTGATGGACTGAATACAGGAGTATTTCGTGTACGCTCTGAATCCGCCGCTCTCGGTTTTCTATGCTCAAGATTATGTAGGAAGACGATACGGAGATCCGTTTCCCTTCAGCCAAAGAGTTCTCCGAAGTTTGTGACGCTGCGTATTACTCCAACAATCCCGGCCGAGTACAGTAGTTTCCTCGGTTCGATTTGTCGACAACGAACCTACAAATATACCTAGTACTCATTATATACACCTTCTCAATCTCCTTGTTTCAAGCAATTCATTATCGAGCTTTTTCACAGCATTGGCACTGGGACATGCTGGGAAATCAGCTTATGGGTCGATATCTTCATCCTGCAGCCTTCAACCTCTTTCCCCCCCCCTCGTCCTCGCTAATTCCATCATAACGTGTATACTTAGACTCGCTTACTAACCTCAACCACGTGATCCAACTGAATGTCCTGCGCCGCCCTATCGCGCGCCACACTACCTGCGGTCACACAAGATCTCACGAGACATACGGAGTACAACAGAGCGGCTTTCATTTACAGTGTCAAGTGCTGCGAGATCTTATCGAAGCAATTGTTCTCAACATCCTTGACCCTTTGACCATCTCACTCCACCCTTCGCACTTCACGATGAGGCCCTCTGCGCGACGCCTCCTCGTCCTTGGCACCCCACTGCCGCCATTCCCAACCCCGCCTCAAAGCCGGCGGCGCCGCCTTATGCTCCGCTGGCGCTCCTTCTCAAATATGAACGCGACGATGCATGCTGAAATCAAAGCAACAACGTTGAAAGTAGTGGAGAAAATGTTGAGGCCTGCACCTTCTCTATTTTGGCGTAATGTCGCTGGACGCGTCGATATTGTCAGCCAATGTAGCTTGTAGTCTTTTTTTCTGTAAATAAACGCGTCGATATTGTCAGCCAATGTAGCTTGTAGTCTTTTTTTCTGTAAATAAACGCGTCGAATGTCATCTTTTTCATCGTTCAAATCCATATAAACTAACGAGACCTCCCACATCACATAATGAACGGCACCGCTCTCGCCGCAGGTATCAGCTGCGTTAACGAAGCCAACTGGCACCCAACATCGCGCGTTGTGGGTGTAGGGGCTGGGTGCGGCATCGCCAGCGCGCTTATTGCAGGTTTGTTCATGCATCTGTATCATTGGTTCCGCGCCAGAACCGATAGAAAGTATGCTATGTTCCTCTCCTTGAACTATGTCTATGTAGATGCACATCTAATCAGTGAGACTTATACAGAAACTCTATCCCAAATATGGAATTGAAGAACCTCGATGTCGAGGATTTATATAGAGCGAGGAAGATGCTCAATCTCCCCGGTATAGCTCTAACAAGGCGTCTAATCAGAATAGAAGATAGCTAACAGTCAGTCTAGTCCAGGACTTAAACGCCTTGGATAGCGTTGCTAAAGCCCGACTTGAGAAGAAGGCTGAGAAGGAAAAAGATTATTTGGACGCCCTAGAGAATCGCAACAAGACTCAGGGCGAGGTGATTAAAGAACAGGCGGAGTTTATAAAACTCTTGAAAGATGAACTTGAGTATTACAAAAATGCTCGAAAGACGTCGGCGGCTTCGCCGCCCTGACGACCATCGCTTTTTGGGGGGAAGGCTCTTTTGGGGGGTTTTTCTAGCGGCTTTTTTGGGACTTTTGGTCCAGCTGTGTTTTATGTCCTCGTTTTGTATAACTTATCGTGTATAAATTACATAATGTCAGAGCGTGGATGAGTGATGAATCCAGTTATGTGAGTGTTTTCTGACTGCCATGTACGGTGAAGCAAAGAAGCAATTCCAGGCAAGCATTTTCATCAAAAGTTACAGTCCCCAGATATGCGCATTCATCACACGAGACACGTAGTCATGGTTTCCATGACACCAATCATACAATTTGATTTCCGGTAGCATCTTATCATCGTCAATACTATCTGGTGTGATGGTGAAGCCTCGGGCCTTGGCACAACATGGACAGTATGAGAGACAATGACCGTGGTAGAGTGTCGGAAGGTCAGGACATCTGAGCCTTAGGGGTTAGTACAGCACGTCACTTTTACTTCCACAAATCACCGATCGAGCTCCGGACAACCGTGCATGTCTGTAGGTCAAGGGTAAAGGGCCGTACCTGGACCTCGTACAACAGCCACAATCCCGCGCACAGCATCCCCCAACCGCCGCGCATTCACTTCGCTGCCACTTCGACAGGTGCCAGCCCGACTGCTGATGCAGCGACAAGTACGCGCGTTTGGCCGGCCCCTCCGGCACTTGCGAGAGCATGTTGTGTCGGTGATGCTCCGCCACCCAGATCGCCTCGCAACTTCCGTCCAGACACTCCTTCTGGAGCTGTTTCGGCGCGGTGTCGCTCGATGACCACCTCACGCTCTGCACCACCTTCGATTCGAGGAGTTTCGACTCAAGCCGTGCGACTTTGGCGGGTCGGGCGGTGGAGGAAGACTTCGGCTGAGGCTGCAGGCCAGACGCAGCGTCCTTTTCGGTCTTCAGCTGCGCAGCGCGCGCCTGCACCTGGAACAGGATCCGCTGATCGGCGCGGATGAGGTCGTAAATTTGTTTGTCTTGGTCAACCTCGCGCGCGCATTTGGTAAAGTGCTTGAAGCGCAGCTTCTGGGCTTCGCGCCATTTCCCTCCTTGCTCGAGCTTGGTCTCCCGGTCAGATGGGGTGCGGATGATTCCGGCCTTTGTGGCGAGGGAGCGAAGGAGAGGCATTTTTGTAGTCGTGGGGGAGTTGGTTTGTGTGGATCTGTTAAATGGGGTGACTTCTTGTGGACTGTTATGTGTGGACTTGCCTTGCGTAGACGGACTTTCAAATGTTGTTCAAGTCAAGGATAATTTTAAGGGTCTAGTCTGTGGAAGTTTCTGTCATCCGAAGAGCTCATAATGACGGTGTCTGTCGGGATAGTCGTGTATCACGTTTCTATAGCATCTTCGCTGGGAGCACCTTCAACAAGAGGTGAAAGAATCGCCCCCGTAGGGAACTTAAAGTGACGGTTGAAAAGGAAGGTAGCCAACTCGTCCATGATGGGAAGAGATACAGCTCGCTCAGCCTAATTTGGCTCCTTCCTATATTTTTCAAATCGACCTGCTGTAGATTTAGGGCATTGTCTTCGCCTCAATCACAAGAGGAGCATCCCCTGCCTTGCCAATGTCAAGGCGGCCTGCCGGCTACTGTAGCTCTTCAGGCCGGGGATTTATCTCCACTACTCACTTAACCCACCCATTGACAAGGACCTTTATTGAAATAGCACGATTGAAAAGCGTCCTCAAAAAAGAGTCACGCACTCATATAATTAGGTCTATAGACAGCTCAGAGTTCCAACATACCCGGGTCAATAAAGTTGCTGTCATGTCATAGTAATGGGGGCGTTGCGGCTAGACGATCCAATTAATATACAGTAATCTATCGTCTGTTCCTCAGCATTCCCGCACCGGCCGTACGTCCACTCTGTTTGAAATCCGCGATTCTTACCATTGTCTCTGTCCCATTTCTCATCCCCTTCGCCCTCAGTCTTCTTCACTTCGTCGAAGGGAGCCAAATTCCTCTGTCAAGCCTTGAAGACTGCATTCTCCATAGTCTTCCATTCTAGCGAGGCGATAATAATATCAACCGGATCCTATAATCTATGCAGCAGTCTTGACCTCGTGATTTCTCGCCAGAGTTCTGTGCCCGTCAGGCTGTCGTTGAATGGTTTCTTCTTCTTCTAAGGCCCCTCACAAACAGGTGCTGACATAACACAAGAGTGGTTCATATAAACCTCTAACCCTCCCTCCAGCTTGATTAGAAAGGAATGCAGGAGGAGAGAGGATACTATGAATACCGCCATAAGGTGGAGAAGGCGGGTCTGGATGTCATCAAGCTCCGCCTAAAGCAACAGGGCGAGCTTATCAAAGAGCAGAAGTATATGATTAAGCTTCTCAAGGAAGAAAAGGAGCAGCTACAAGCTGCACTCGATGTTGGCATAGAGAAATCGACCCCTAAGCCCCCCGAGGGCCCCGGCAATCCCAACAACCGGTAGAATCCACACTCTATCACCGGCGACACTGGCACTACCACCAATAATACTGGCTGTGTTACCGACAACACAGACCCCTCCAGCGCCAGCAACCAGCGCCGCAGATTTTGTTTGTGCTGATCTTGGATCCTTGGTTTGGAAGCTTGTCTCAAGAACAGGACTTGTTTGGGCTATGTTTCCGCGCCCTTTGTATACGTTATCGTGTATACATTACAGTGTATGAACTATAGAGTTGGCGGCCCTGCAGCCTCAGGAGCCAGCCAGGTGCCGCTCCCCGCCCATTTGTGGTTCTTAGCTAGTTCCTCAGATAGCCGATGTAACCTGAATCCATTCATCGTCCCTCGTCCTTGACATGAATGCTTGTTGGCTCGGGGGCGCTGCTGGCTGACAAGAGGCGGACAGCCACAGCCACGTAGATAGCTCTGTATAGCAGACACCGGGCTGGCTTGGCAGGACGATTAAGCTGCAAGCTTGTTTAGCCCTAGCCCACTCCTTCGAGATCATGACGGGGTTCTGGCCATCGAATGACTCGTGATCAGCCCTCGGCCAAGGCATCCGAGCGAGTAACCGCATAAGTATTCCGCGAGCGAGGCCGTTCCTGCGATTGAGGCTATTCCTGTGAGCGAGGCTATTTGTGCAAGTAATTGCTACTGTATGGATTCGATTCACCAGCGCTTCTAAGGCCCATAGTCAAGATGGTCGACTGAATCCGGCGGTTAACAATGGTGTCGGCTCCTGCCTCGTTCCTCCTATACACTATCTACAAATCTACACAGCTCTTTCCTCAACACGATTGTCTCAATTGACAAAACCCGCTTCTCCGACCCCACAATTCCTCCTCTCCTTCTCTTTTTCTCCTCTCTACCGCAAGGTGATTTCTTGCTAGTACCTGCTAACACGTCTTACCTTTGGTTTGATCCCCTGCTATTTCCGGCTCTTGATCCCCTCATTTTCTCTCATCTCTTTTTGCCGACCTTCCCTCCCTTCTTTTGCCCGTTTTCTTGAAAAGTCGACCAGATGGGCCGTCTGTGTCCTTCTTCGTTCCCCTCCTTTTCTTCTTCCCTCCGCTCCTACTATCCTCCCTCTCCTCGCCCATCCGCCGTCAGACTTCGACACCACACTCCTTTGCCTGCCTATCGAGGCGTCCGTTCTTTGCGCGGGATGCAGTCCGCCCCACTGCAGCCCGCTGTGTCCAAGGTAAGGATTTTTATTCATTCTGTTGTTTCTGGGAAGCCTTCTCCTGTACCTTTCAGGGTGCGTCCGCTCCTTCTTCTGTGCGCCCTCGGGCCACATCCATTCCTTCTGAGCCAGCTGATGCTCGAACTCGCCTTCGGGAGAGACGAGATGCCTTCACGGCACGTGTTCAGCTCGCTCGTGACAGAATGGCAGCCGTGAGCCGGCGGGCCCCGTTTATTCCTTCTCGTGTGCCTCCATCAGGCACGTCCGCTCCTTCTTCTGTGCGCCCTCGGGCCACATCCACTCCTTTGGTGCGCCCTCGAGCCACATCCGCCGAGGACAGAGCTCAGCGGGCTCAAGCTCTCTTGGAGGCTACCCTTAACATTCCTTCATCGGTGCCTTCTTCTTCTGTGCGCCCTCGGGTCACGTCCACTCGTTCTCATGTGTCCCCAACAGGCACATCCGCTCCCTCTTCTGTGCGCCCTCGGGCCACGTCCACTCCTTCTAGGCCAGGTGATGCTCGTACCCACCTTCGGGCGAGACGGGATACCGCCGAGGCCAGGGCTCAGCGGGCGGAGGCTCTCTTGGAGGCCACCCTTGCATCAAACGCAGCTCAGACTGCGTTTCGTAAGGGCAAATCCAAGAAGATTGTCAGATTCAATGAGACCACCACAGTCTTTACTGTCAGCCGGTGGATCCTCCCATGGAGAGATCAGTTCCGTAGGTAGTGAGGAAGGGGCTGTTTTTGAAGGCTTCTCGTGTCGCTCTTTTGGTTTTCTTTAGTCACTCGTTTTGGGGCTTTGCATTTCCTTTTTTTTGTTGGCCTTTAGGTCGTCCATTCGTTCTCTTCTCTTGTCTGCCTGGCTTGGTTGTACCAGAACCAAGCTGGGTTCTCTTTACTGCTGATCAGGCCACAGATCGGGCATCGGGACGGCATCGTGCACCACCGAAGAACGACAGAGACGACGAAAAACCACCATCTCGATTCGCTTACGGTTACCAACGAGTGTCTAGCGGCCGGCATCACGGACGGACGACAGAGATAAACGCCCGAGTTCGACCCAATTTGTTTACGGTTCGTCGGAATGTCTAGCGGCCGGCATCACCGAAGGACGACAGAGGTGGACGACCTGGAAATGCGTTTGGGGCTGTTGCGGCTTCGTGTCTGTTGGGCAGCAGCATGAGACAGACAACCACGTGTTCTTCGGGCAACGGTCATCGGCGGTTCGAGGGGTGTTCGGTTTGCGACAGCATTTCGATGAATGACAGCAGCAAACGACGATCTTGGCAACGGTTATCGGCGGTTCGACGGCGGTTCGGTTTGCGACAACATTGTGCGATACGACAGGGGCAATCGAGTGGAGGTTTGAGATCGCCGGCGGTTCCAGGGGTGTCTCGTGCCAGCAACTGCCAACGTGGTTCGGAGCGTTGGAGTCAAGTCAATTTCAGTTGCTGGTACGTGTGTCGGAGGACTTTGGGGGGGACGTGTTTCCTATGTCTTTCCTTTGTTCGGCTGTGGAGGACATGTTTGGCCAATCCAACAGGGGGGTGTGGGTCAATGTAGGTCTCCTTGATCATTCCCTTTGTTGCTTCTGACTATCTTGGTCCAACAAGGACTTGTATGGACAATTCCGGCGCGGGTTGAGCCTTTGTGTTTTCCTTTGTTACTTTCTTGGTATCACTAGATACCTGGTTGGGAGGACATGTGGACCAGCTCCAGTGGGGTGTGGATATTTGTAGGGCTCCTTGGTCTTCCCTTTGTTCTGAACACCTGGTCCCAAAGATGGACTTGTATGGACAACTCGGGCGAGGGTTGAGCCTTTGTGTACTGCGGGGGTGGGACTGTGATGTGTTAATGTCACCGGTTGTTCTCCCACCTGAGCGTGCACACCGTAGCCTTCTCCAAGTCCGTATTGTGAATGTAGTTATTGAAGAGTCGTCGAGGCGTAGTTCGTTGGCGCCGAGCTCCCGATGATATATATGGTGTGATAAACAGGTAGTTACGTAAACAAAATGTACGACAAGTACCACATTGACTAGAGTATAGATAGTTCTCTGTAGGGAATTAAGCCAGTTCCTTTGTCACTTTTTCAACCTTCGATATTACACCGGTAATTTGTGACTTGGGAGCCTAATGGTACGCTATACTAAGAATAACTTTGGCTGTTTCTCCCGCTGTTCGAGAAACAACCGGCGAACAAAGGATCCCGGATGGGGGAGCCCTGGAGCGGGTACACTATCCCCAGATTGGCTAGTCTCCGGGCAGCTGAGTCAGCCGATGGGTCGCATTCTCCACATTGGGGGAAAATTCAGCGGGCGAGACCCAATGCATCGCCAGCCCAGCAAACCCGCAATAATAATTTACTGCTGCACCACCACCACCATTGAAACTTCCTTTCGTGGTAAACAAAACACCACTTGCCTAAATACCCCTCCATCCCCCCCCTCCTCCCTCCCTTCTCTCTTCCCCTCCCCCTTCCATTATGACAAGTCGTCGTCTTCTATCCCAAGTCACAGCCATCAAGATCTCTCCTTCTGTCCCCACTGCACGATTGTGGAATTCTCGTGTCGCAGTCAAACCCACCGTCGCTGTCCACCCATTATTTCCGCGGGTCCAGAACTTCACTACTTCACGCGCCATGGAAGCCATCGCTGGCACTGCTGATGATAGCGGGGTCACCTACGCCTCGGTGTCTAACAGATTAGACCCTTTGCTCTTCAAGGCCATCACGAAGTTGGGCTTCAACCATATGACTCCCGTGCAGCACCGCGTAATGACCCAGCTGCAGCCCGACGGCTGGCGCGGCGACTGCCTGGTCCAAGCTAAGACTGGTACCGGCAAGACGGTCGCCTTCCTGCTGCCGGCCCTGCACCGGCTCGTGCACGGTGACACCTCCGTCCCCAAGGACCAGGTCGCCGTCCTCATTATCACCCCTACGCGCGAATTGGCGCTGCAGATCGCCAAGACGTGCGACGGGCTCACCTCCCAGTTGCCTCGCCCGCGTAAGATTGAATGCCACATTGCCGTCGGCGGCACGGCTAAGGCCACCGCGTTCAACAAGTTCATGGCCGGCGACCCCAAGGTCCTCGTCGCCACCCCGGGCCGTCTGATGGACTACCTGAATGATGAGGAGTGCGTCCGCAAGTTCAAGAATATCCAGACCGTCATTCTCGACGAGGCCGACACCATGCTCGAGGCCGGCTTCCTGCGGGATGTACGGCAGATTCTGAGAAAGCTCCCCGCCAAGAAGGAGGCCGGGTGGCAGGGCATGTGCTTCAGCGCCACAGTGCCGCCCAAGGTTAAGGACGTGGTCGACGTGGTGTTGCGCGACGGATACCACCACATCTCGACGCTCGACCCGAACGAGTCCGCCACCCACGAGCGCGTGCCGCAGTATTCGGTGGTCGTGCCCGGCGTCGAGCAGATTTACACGGCCTTGCACGCGCTCCTGAAGGAGGAGATGAAGGGCAAGAAGTCGAAGAAGGTGATCGTGTTCGGCGCCACCTCAAACTTGGTCGCGCTGATGAACATGGCGTTCGGGAAGCTGCTGGAGGGCCAGACCACGACGTTTGAGATGCACTCGCGGCTGACGCAGCCGGCGCGCTCGCGGGCGACCAACCTGTTCCGGGAGACCACCTCCGGTGTCATGTTTGCCAGCGATGTGGTCGGCCGCGGCCTGGACTTCCCCAACGTCGACCTGGTGGTGCAGGTCGGCCTGCCCGCCAACCCGGATCAGTACGTGCACCGCGTGGGCCGCACAGCGCGTGCCGGCAACGACGGCCGCGCCGTGATGCTGCTGACCGAGCGCGAGAGCTTCTTCCTTAAGGTCAACGCCGGCAAGTTCCCCATCCAACCGCACCCCGACAGCGCAGAGATCCTCGCCGCTGCCGCCGATCCCAACCGCTCCAGGGATGTCGTCAACCAGGTCATGGCCGCCGATGTCGACGAGGTCACTAAGCAACGTGCCTACTCCTCCTACCTCGGCTGGTTGGCCGGCGGCGGCCGCCTGCTCAAGCAGATGCAACTCGACAAGCCCGGCCTCGTCCGGCTGGCCAACGAGCTCGCCATCGAGGCCTTCCAGTGCCCCGAGCAACCCCAGCTCCAGAAGTCGGTCGCCCGCAAAATGGGTCTGACCGGCGACATCCCCGGCCTGAGACTCACTGCCGCCGACCCCAAGCTGTCGCTCACGGGCAAGCAGCCCACTCACAACGGCGCGAAGAAGAGCGCCCCGCGCGACGTGCTGAGCCCCGAGCCCAGCGGCGTGGAAAAGCCCTCCTCCAAGCCCAAGCGCGGGGGACCGTGGAGCAGGCGGTACTAAACGTTCCTCCGTCCTCCCTTACCTTCTCACCTTCTGTTTGGCATTACCGGGCTTCTTTTCGCGTCTAGAGTTGAGTGATTCCCTACGAATGTGTACTTATAGATTCATAGATTTGCAATTTCATTGACTAGGGTTTGATGCTTTTAATGCAGGAGATTGGTTCGTGAGCTCGAATTCATTCGGTTCTCACATCACGATCTATCAGGGCCGTTCAAGGTCGAATGCTTTTCTCGGGAATACCCTCTATACTTCTTACCGTGTTTTCGCAATTAAATTTTATTTGTCAGGCTGTACTCACGTTACCAACTGTATGATTGAATGGGAGACGTGAAGTCAGGTGATATAGGCGGGCTACGATGCGTGCAACCAGGCAGCGTAGTAAGCCTGTTCCGTCAGGCTGCCACAAGCCTCCCAGCCTCGGACTACGTCACTCTGGCATCTGACTCAGGTACCCATCCATCCCGAAGGATCCAGGATCCGAACCCACGATAAGCTTAGATCGAATCTCTCGGTGATCTACCTTGGTTTAAGCTTCGGTAGAAACACTCCTGATATCAAGATGCAGTCCCTGGCTATGTCTTTGCACGGCCGCTCTACTACTTACTCGCACCTGAGTCCTGCCCGCAGACTCACGGGAAAGGTTTCTTGACTACCTTGTACAGATTTGTACAGGGGATTGAGTGAGAATGTGGTGTATGGGTGTGGCTTGCGGTATCCACTCATTCCCTCCCACCGTGAATGATACGGACACTCCCGGGGGTTTATTGTGCATCTATCCTCGTACTGGAGATTCACGCGTCGATGAATTGTTTGCGAATTGCAGCCCCTATGGATATTGCGAGCAAACCGATGCGGACGGAGCGATCATGCTGACCTGCACCCAAACTTCCCACACTAGGATGGACTACAGCCGGTCGACGAGCTCCAGTCTACTGCCACTGCACGACCGCCGCGCGTCATCGGCTGGGCGTGGAGAAACGGCCGGGTGGTGAAGCCGAGTGGGAGGCGCATCCCTGTTCGCCATTCTTTAAAAGAGGGGAGATCGGTGGGCTGGTTCTTGGACCTCGTTGCAACAGATATCCTACGTTTGTCTTGTCTCTAAGCCCGAAGAAATCATCAGAAGCATGCCTCTCAAAGTCGTGGTCGTCGGGGCCGAGCTCGCGGGCCTCGGGGCCGCCATTGCTCTGTGAATCGTGCGGGTCATGATGTTGAGGTGCGCTGTGCTCGGCCACAACTGCTTGCTTCTGTTTATGTCTCAAAGCTCAGAATACTGATTATTGGTTTACGGTATACCTAGGTGTTGGAACAATCGAGTTTCCTGAACGAGGTTGGCGCCGCCATTCACGTGGCGCCGAACGCCACCCGGATCCTGCGCGACTGGGGCTGCAACTTTGACAACCTGCAGGCCTGGGACTCGGATGGGAATCTTGTGTATACTCCGGTCGTGCGTTGTCAACACATATACGTCACGCGAGGACAATGTTGCTGGAATTTTGACTGACTGGCATTGGATTGTATCGGCGTAGGTGACCGAAGAACTCCAGAGGTCTCTAGGGATCTGCGATGACTGAGTGTTGACGCACCGGGTTGATCTCGGATCTATCCATCGCGCAGACCCTGCTCGCCCCAATCGCAGCATCAGCGATCGACATCAAGCCCACCAACCAGGGTCCGGGCTTCTTCTACAACACCGTCAGCATGATGATGCCCATTCTGATGCAGTTCTTCACCATGGCCGTGAACGGCATCTCCACCGAGTTTGCCGCCTTCACCTCCACCTTGTCCGTGACCCGCCACACCCTCTTCCGGGCGTGCCTCTCGCTGTGCTACACCTTCCTCGGCGCCCTCGCCATGCCCGGCTACATCTGGGCCTTCCGCGAGGACTGGACCACCAGCGACGGCAACGCCTGCGGCCGCACCTGGATGGCCCTCTGGCTCGTCATGCACGTGAATTGCCTGTGGCTGGACGCGACCACCGTCGTTGTGCCCCCCAAGTTCATGTCCTTCGTCATGCTCACCTGGATTATCCTGAATGTGTCCAGCTCCATCGGCCCCTTCGATCTCTCGTCCGGCTTGTATCGCTGGGGCAACGCCCTCCCTGCCTACGAGCTGTCCCAGATCCTGCTATACATCTGGACAGACGGGTGCAATCGGCCTGCGCTGCATCAGTCCCTGTCCATTCTGTTCTCGTGGTGGGTCGTTGGGTGGGCAGTGTTTGTGGTGGGAATGCGGGCCAGGGTGCGGGCGCGGCGCGGGATGGCTGGAGGGCCAGCGGCGCGCGAGGCGGAGGAAGTGGAGGGGGTGGTGAAGATGTAACTTACCCTCTACCCAGGCTCCTAAGATAGCGTCAGAGGCTTGGAGTCTTTCGGCTCTCATGAATAGATCCTAGATCCAACGCCTAGCCTTCAATCGGGCAATTTGGGGAAAATACTTATATCTTATTCAACTCAAATGTACAGTACAATGCGCTTTCTGCAGACTGGTGATCTGTGGTGGTCGGTCCCTCGTGCTGACCAGAGTGAGAGTCAAGACGGGGGTTCGTCTGCCCTGTTGCCATGCAGTACCCGCTTAATATTCACACATCGCATTATGCAGATAACATCTCCGACGACTACACCTGGAATAGACTAGAATACCGAACGTCGCGGGGCAGACGCGAGCATGCAACTTCAACACCTTCTGCGTATTTATGCTGTCAGCACTGGGGTACAAATAGTACCTGGGTAACCCGATCACGTGATCTGGCGCTTTCCTTTCGATTGTAAGGGATACCACTATTTCACCCCCTTTATTATGTCCAACAACCCCTATACAGAGAATTATTCGCCTCATGTTGGTTATATAAGGGATATGAGAGCAGGCTGAGTTGACATTAGGGTTAGGATAGCGACGTAAGGCACCAAAGTATCATCATTATTCCAATATCCGAAAGGGACTCGCAACTATGTAACCAGACTTATATAGATCCTAACATACAAAAGGAAAAAGATAAAAAACACAAAAGCTCCTACGGCATAACCCGGGAAAAAAAATCAGACCCCATAGAGCATACCGGGACGCTTCGAGGAGCCCACCCCCGCCCCGGAATCAGGCGAATCCCGCCGCCTCTTCCGCTCCACCAGGTCCCTGCCACCAATCTCGAACCCGTCCCTAGACGGATACTCATGTCCATATCCATATACATCAACACCCCTGACACTGGCTAACAACACCTTTGCGTACGCCGCCGCCGTCGCGGCCGCATAGTTCTGCCACCGGTTGTTCCGATGCGAGTCGCCGTAGTCGCAGATCCCGCGGATCAGCACACACGGAAAGAAATCGATGATGCCAACGGCTTCCGTCTCGAAACACAGGATTCCATGCGCCTTGGTGAGGATATCGCGGTGGTAGCCCGCGGGCGGGATCGCGGTGCTGGAGGCGACGAGGCCGTAGTGGATGCGGGGCTGGAGGGTGGGGCGGGGCGGGCGGGGGAGCTCGAACATCGGCCAGCAGCGGTGACAGTCGGTGTCACTGGGGAGGGCGTGGGGGTAAAAGCCGAGGAAGAGGCGGTCGGGTTCGGGGTTGGGGTGTTGGTATTGGATTTTCAGGAGCTCGATCTGGCGAAGGTAGCGATCGACGGAGGCGATGGCAGGCTCCGGGTTCGATTCGAGGGCGCTGATTGCTTCCGTAAGGCCGATGGGCGGCGGGAGGAGGGATCCGTTCAGCCTGAAAGGCCCTCTTTCGGGCGTCTGGGCGATATCATAAGGTAGGACTCCCGAGTACGTGCTGCGGGGGTCGCTGACGACGACATCGCCTAGCCGGATGTCGTGCGCGTCGAAGGGTGTTCCTGCGCCCATGCCGACCAAGAGACAAAAGCGTATCCTGGGAAAGCTGCGCTTCATGTAATTGACACTGGTCAGCGCCGAGTAGGTGCTATCTGAGCCGTGCTGTAGGCAGACGCCGACCACGTTGTGTTCTGCTATACGGCCCAGGACGTATTGGTTGGGGTCCCCGGCTGTCACCGTGACGGGCTCGAAGACCTCGTCGAAAAGAACACGGACTGCCATCAGCTCATGTTGTAAGGCGCAAATAATTCCAACGGTGTAGTGAGCGATTGCCGGCTTTCTTCTGGACAGCTCATGGAGAGCGTGTTTCGACTGGCTAGCTGCCGAATTCCGCATGTTGAAGAACACTTGCTCCATTGTCTGGGACCCCACGTATCCTGAAGAGCGGGTTGCGCCAGTATGGCTCGATGAACTTTGACTATCAACGGGGCTGCCTTTGGAGTGATTTGGTCCCACGAGTTCCGGAACGACAGGCCTGGACCGAGTCGGATATCCGTAGTCGCCCCAATACCATGCATCGTCCGGGTTAAACCCAAAGACCATAGCTCCTACGTCCCAATCAGGGGCCACGGTCATATCTTGAGCCTCGTTCGACATCGCCACAGGTACAAGCATGTCGACATGCTCCGTGCTCTTGAGTCTCCCTCTGACGTCATGCGAATGCTGCGTGTTGCTGGCCTTCGTCGAGCACCAAAGAAGGTCACGGGTCAATCTTACAGGATTCGAGTCTGGATTACCGTTCAGTTCCGCTATACTTTTAATATCACGAGCGCTAGCGGTGAGATAGAACCTGCCGGTTGGGACAGTGTCCCATCTTGCAAATGGTTGTGACCAATTCGCAGGTTGTATAATGTCACCGAAGCCCCGACCAAATAGTGTGACTGCATAGATTGATCGAGTCAGGTCCACCCAGGATCGGCCTTCATATGGTAGGACTGTGTGCCGTAGGTGAATACGATCGTTCTCCCTAATGAGGTCCCGGATATCCCACCCGTCCAGCAACGAGCGAGGCTGTATGCCAGCCGGGTTGTGCCGATTGGTAGCTCTAAGCCGAATGTCTATTGCCTGTTCCAGTAAGGTAAAATAGTTTTCAGCACGGTTTTGAAAGGTAATCGGATCCTCTCCGCTGCCGGAGATGTTTATCTTGCGATTGATCGGATGTACTAAGAGTTGGAACGCCGAGTCCCATTGATATGGTTGTTTGGCTTCGTGTAACTGGTCCTCATGCAAACGCCGAGTAGGCTCAAGTGCACCCTCACGGCGGTCTTCATACATCGATGCTCGAACAAGATGTAGCAGAGCGCTAGCTCCGTTGACCAGCCATCCTCTTTGATCCATTTCATCCCATAGAACAACGTATTTTTGGAAGAGCCATTTCATCTTCTTGATGAATGACGAACGTGGTGCCCTGATGTCTCTTTGACCCATAACAGGCCGTATGCCGTCTGCAAGAATTGGACCTGCAGAGAGCGTGGAGGTACTGAACAGCTCTGTCTCCTCAGTAGTGCGTGGTAATCCTGTATGGCCAATGCTATAGCTCGCACCTCGTTGACCTAGAGCCAGAGTGTCAGTGTCAACCGTCAGAACTCTCGTAGTCATAGCCAGGAAATTAGTATACAAACCTGCGAATAGCTTTATTTCTGGACACCAACCTACTACATGCCGAGCGGCCTTCAGGTCTTGGACTGCGACGGAGAGACCTGGCCACTCTTCACTGCGTAAATGAGACATTCGGCGCCCGTATTCCTGAATGAAATGCCATAAGACAATATTCTGGGAATAGCTAGTCGCAATCGCCATGCTGGTGAATCCCTTCAAGAGTGTCTTTTCATCAAACTCAGATGCTCGAGTCGTGTCAACCAGCTGAGCCAGCATTCCCAGCGGTATTTCGAGGCCCTCGAACATGTGCGGTGGTCGCCGACGTATTGGGAAACCTTCCACTACCACTGGGCTTGCCATCATTCCGTGCCAGCACTCCCCGTTGATGCCCTTCCCGCTCTTCATATGCTTCGTGAGCTCAACTGTGAGCTCAATAAGAAAAGCCGATTGTGAACTGTGATCGTTGTGCTGCGGCCTGGTGACATGAATAATGGGCTTGCTATATGTGACTGTCCCTTGTGAAGGAGAAGTCCGCAACGCAGAAGCCATCCATGCCACCTGCTCGCTAATCTCTGCAATGGCGGGTTCTGTTCCACAAATCTCGAAGAGCATTGGGCGCGAGGACCTTTCACTTGAAAATGTACTTCGCGCACAAGAGACTCGAGTACCATCCGCAAGGATCACTACCACAAAGACAAATGTCAGCAATCCATATGGTCAAACGGCAATGATGAAAGCTACCAGATTTCTTGACCCCTCCAATTACAACTGTCTTTACCAGGCACAGCACGTCCCAGCCAGTAAATGGCCAGGTTTGGTCCATATAGTCCCTGATGGTCAAGGCTTGTACTGATGAGAGGCAGCCCGTGGTTGTAATGATTCTTTCAAATGCGTAATCTGCTGCCTCTTCATACCGCTGCTCCTCGATGAACAGGATTGGGTCCCAGTTCGTTTTTAGTGCAACATTGAACGTCTGACTCGGAGCTTTTCTACTGATACGTGGAGTCTTAGGCAGAGCTCCAATAATCTTTTCGCGGATCCCGGCTCCCGAACTTGGTTCAGGCAGAGCGATTATACGTTCACGTTGAATCCTTTCCAGCAGGAGTGGATAAGCAGGACTGCTGTGGGTTAAGGACCGGTAGTTCTGCAGTTGCGAATAATTGCTGCGAGTCTCAGACTCATTGTTCTGAGCGGCTGAGTTTGTACGAGACGTGGTGGTTTCAGTCTGCCTCATGCAGCCTTTGTGGAAATCCACGATTTCGCGATGAGGGAGGGTCATGCATTGTGACGCTCCGTCGTTTCTTTGCCCCCAAAACCATGGTTTATCGTCCACAGACATCGCTTTATCTGATTGCTGTCTCATAAATTCATTACCGCGCGCGAGGAGAGCTTGCTCAAACATTGACGCAATCTTTCTGAGGACGCGGCACTAAAGGTCAGCCGCAAGTAGATTACACCTCCTTCGCGAAGACTAACCGTCGATGTTGGTGAATCAAAACCATGATATCACGCTGGCTTTGATTGGTGGACGCTTGGCCTAGACTCAGCGCAAAAGCCCTCAGCAGCTCAGGGAGCGCTTCGACGATATCCTGAATGACTTCGTAATTCAGGTCGTATATATCCACAACCTTGGAGAGGTCGCTAGCTAGCCCATGCATAAATGCGTGCATCTCATCACCGTCGCTAGAGCACTTGGAGTGGATGCTTTCCTTGTCGCTTTCGTCACTGGTATTACCGCCCTCCAGTGACTCGGTCTTATCCCAAGCTATATTATTCCGTGTGGATACTGCCACTTCTACTTCATGCCTTTGATGTAGAATGAGGTCATGATCGGAGACTGTGTGACCTGTGCAAGATTCCAGCCCAGTGGCTTGTGCTCCTTTGATCCTCTCCTGCGATAGCACGGCAGAATCTTTACATTTGTCAGTCGTCGCAGTCGCGCCATCTGGGGTTCTAGCTCGTTCTCAATTCAGAGATCAGCAAACGACAAACAGAAAGGAGTAGGCTCCATGTCATATTTACCAGGCAAAGAGCTCATACGTTTTACTGCGGTCTCAGGCCTCGAGAATGCAGATGTCAACAAGTAGTCCGGAACATTAACATGATTCCCATGTAACGACCCAGGACAGCCTGGGGAGGCTTGCTCAAAGCTCCAAAGAGCAATCACAACTGGTCTCTCCCCACTATCCGAGTTTAATTGCTGATTGGCTGTCCCGGGGGGCTTCTTGTGATCGCGGGCAATGCAAATCTCTTGGACCATCGTGATCTTTCGAGTGAGTTCTTCCGTCTCGGGATCCGGGTGAGAAAACAATACCTCACCCCCTAACCAGCTCGTGTCAAAAGGAATTGCCACCACAGAGAAGACTGGATCAGGAGAACACGTTGAAATATTTTTTTTGATCAGAATCCCATCTCGATAGACGAAGTTGTGACACACCCATTGGTCCGCATTGAATTCGCGGATGCTCTTCATTCGCCGGCGTAGCTCAAAGAGAGTTTCCATATTAGATCCTTGGGGCACGTCTTCTGTTGGAATCTGAAGGACGGCATGGAAGTGAAGTATCTCGTACCGACAAGGCCCATTCAGAGACTCAATGAGCATCTCCAATCGAGGGAATCGCCGTCGCCAGCGCGCGATGTCCGCCAGACTCGTCATGCCTACTACAGGCTGATCGTCGTCTGAGCGAATATACGTGTACGGTGCATTGTATTCTCTCCCCAGTGCTCCCGGCGGCCGTGACTGCAAGTGAAACCGAACGTGACTGATCAAAGAATAGGGTTCAGGTTGACGGACGGGCAGTGGATCTTTTTCGTCCGTGCGTACTCTGACTACGGGCTGTGCGGGTAGCGGTAGCCCACAGCTAATATCTAGGGCAGATTTATCTGACCAATCAGGTCCACCGTTCATGTGGATACGCCTTGGCGACTGAGGGAAGGAAGATTCGGACCGTGTGACAGTTCGTATCTGCGTTGCTCGCCCCTGAGGATCGGGGTGCCGAGGGGGCCATTGCGGAGGATCATCGGCGTCTTCATAGTGTCTGTCCATACTCCAATTTCGGTGTTAGCTATGTGATCTCTGCGAAACTCGACTCACAGGATATTGACTCGACGGTGCGAGAACCTGTAGTGGATGAGAGGGAAGAATAGGAGACATTTGTTGAAAGAGATTGCGAGGATGCTGAAGATGGGCGAGGGTGAGTGGGGAGTGAGGCTAGCGACTTCTTGGTCGTACTTATGTTCATGCAGGTGCTAGTCCCCTTTGAGATGGTCTGTCAGCTGACTTCACAAACAGTATCATTGACTCCACACATTAATCTATTAGCATTGGGTGTAACTCCATATGTAGCGCGTTGTGATCCTAGCGTATAAATTCCATCCCACCATATCCACGCCAAACTATCTGAATCCACTTTCCGTCTCCAACCACGTGCCAAAGTTTTTCAGATCCGGATTGAGCTTCCTCAAGGCTTCAATATCAGCCCCATAACCCTCATCATAGAACCATCTAAACATCACTCCAAGTTCCTTGACGGCCATCATCATCAACTTGACCGGAATCCGGAAGGTGGTCGGTACGTCTTGCCCAGTCTTCTGCTTGAAGATTGTTGCCATCTGTTCGTACGTCAACTCATCCCCTGCCAGGGAGAAAGCCTGCCCTTGCGATTGTTCAGGATGTAGAAATGCTTGAGCGGCAAAGAAGCCGATGTCACTGGTGGCGATCAACTGCAGCGGCTTGCCCTTCAGCGACATCTGCCACGCGGTCGCAAAGACCCGGCCAAAGTAATCAGGCGTCAAGTTCTCGAAAAAGGCCGTGGGCCGTAAGATCGTCCACTGCATGTCGGTTCCTTCTGATTTCGTGATCAAATGCTTTTCGATTTCATGCTTGTAGACAAAGTGCGGGACTTTGGTGGGGTTGTTGATGGAGGCATCGCCGCCACGGTCGACGGAGCTGTAGACGAAGAACTTCACGCCTTGTTTGATGGATTCGTCGACTAGGGCCAGACCTTGCCGGCGCTCGTTATCATTGCGTGGATCAGCGGCCTGTGATCCTGGGGGTCAACATCGCGATATCTGTGTGCCTGTCATCGACGTACCTGGACACTGTACACCCCCCAAATCGGAGCGGAGCTGCCAGTCTTGGCGGACCGGAATAGCGCTGCCGGATCATCCAGGTTGCCTTCGACCAGTTTGATCCTGGGTGACTGTTGTGCGAGCTTTTGGGCAGAGGGAGACTGTGCATTTCGCGTGACGGCGAGAATATCGAAGGGGGCATTTTTGGCCAGGAGATTGCGGATCACTGAACCACCCTGTTTGCCGGTCGCGCCGGTGATGAGGACTGCGTTCATGTTTGTTGTTTGCTCAGTTCAATTGACAAGTTGGGATAAAGGATGGATGAGGAACAAATTCTGTCTCGCATTTTTACATTCAACTTATACCTTGCTTTTATCTCGAGTGAAACTCTATTGCAGACAAAGTTTGCGGATCATTGAGTCGATTACACAGCGACTTGCCGTTTTGCAGCGTTCTCGGCCTCGCTTTCAACCCCGAGCTGACAAACCACCAAATTTCCACGGTAGCGTTCTCGCAAAGAACATTTGACCCAGACAAATCAGGAGCTAAAATTTCAGAGATGCGGTAGATGGGCTGGAAAGTTCTGTGGTTAGAACGCTATGTGGTAACCCCTTTTCTGGCTACGAAACCGGAGGCAAAAAAGCATTATGTATCCCTTCGGCTCTGAGATTAAATCCGAATCCAGGTGAAGCACTGCCAAGATTGATAAATCATATTGTGAAAGCAACTTTATGGGTGTTATTCGGACTTGATTTCACCACGATGACCAACCGTTCTTTTGCATATTCCCCCTGTGTGGGGGGTGAGGACGAATTCTGGTTTAAAAAGGTCTTGAGAACCCTTGTAACGGCCGTGTGTGTGCCCTTCAGCTGAATATAAAGTTTATGCTTCGGAAATCAGGTCAGGCGAGATTGTTCTTCTTTGGCAAATCTGTTATATCCTTCTTAACTTCCTCATCTTGTTCCTGTCAATATTCTTTCTCGACTTACCGAGCCGACTTCTCCATGGCCGACTTTCAACACGGTAAATCGAAGTCATACAACACATCATTTGACGTCGACAGTCAGCATGAAGACAACGACGCGGCTCAATTTTACCCCATGGGACCGCAACTGGCTGTCATCACGATAAGTCTGATGTTGGCGGTCTTCTGCGTGGCCCTAGACAACACGGTACGGTTTATAGCCTTTCTTTCATCTGAACCATTTTTGTGACCACTGACATGGCGACAAGATCATGGCAGTGGCTATTCCCAAAATCACCGATCAGTTCCATGCGCTCGGCGATGTAGGCTGGTACGGCTCATCGTATCTCTTGACGACTTGTTGTATGTGTGCCTTGACCTCAGGTGATTATTGGGCGGCGGTGGCTAATTCCCGAAACGCAACGCAACAGCATTCCAGCTTCTGTACGGAAAGCTCTACACTCTCTTCAGCATCAAATGGGTCTTTCTCTCTGCGCTTTTTGTCTTCGAACTGGGCTCTCTCATCTGTGGTGTTGCACCGGACTCTGTCACCTTGATTGTCGGTCGCGCGATCGCCGGACTGGGCAGCGCAGGCATCTTCACCGGTGCAATGGTGACGTTGGCCCACACCGTCGCCCCGGCGAAGAGGCCAATGTTCTTCAGCATGCTCGGAGGGATGTACGGGATTGCATCTGTCGCTGGGCCTTTGGTATGTGTGATTTCTCTAACAATCCTAACAGATCTCTGGAAGCTTCCACTAAACTAACCTCTGGTGGCTCCAGATGGGCGGCGCTTTCACTGACCACGCCACCTGGCGGTGGTGTTTCTACATCAACCTTCCTCTCGGAGGAGTCACGGCCATTGGACTTCTGACGCTGCTACGATTGCCCGCAAAGCCACAAACCCAGAAGAGATCACTGGCTGCGACGCTCAAGGGCCTTGACCCACTGGGAACCATGATTTTTGTCCCAGCCATCGTCTGCCTACTTCTCGCCCTGCAGTGGGGCGGGGTCACATACCCCTGGTCCAACGGACGCGTGATTGCCCTATTCGTGATCTTCGGACTGGCGCTTCTCGCATTTATTGGCCTCCAATTCTTCCTGGGAGAGGACGCCACCGTCCCCATTGGCATTGCCCGCCAACGGACCATCGCCTCAGCGTCGCTATTCGGCCTCTTCATTGGAGGATCATTCTTCACCATGATCTACTACATCCCCATCTGGGTATGTCTGCCCCCTTCCGCCCCCTTTCCCTCCAAACGCGCATGATCTAATCCCAAATATAGTTCCAGGCAATCCGCAACGTCAGCGCCGTCCGCTCCGGCATCGACTCCCTTCCCATGATCCTCTCCAACGTAGTCGGCATCATCGCCTCCGGCGCCCTAACCACTGCCTTCGGATACAACGCGCCGTTCTTCCTGCTCAGCAGCGCCATCATGTCCCTGGGCGCGGGGCTGATCACCACCTTCACGGTCGACATCTCGCAAGCCAGGTGGGTCGGATTCCTGTTCCTGTACGGCCTAGGCGTGGGCTTCGGCTTCCAGCAGGGCGGCGTCTCGGCGCAGGCGGTTCTCCCGCTCTCCCAGGTCTCCGTCGGCACGGCCATCGTCATGTTCCTGCAGATGCTAGGCGGGTCGCTCTTTGTCTCGGTGGCGGAGAATATTTTTACGAAGCACTTGATCGCCAATATCGCCGCGCTGGAGATTCCTGGGTTGAGCCCCGAGGCAGTGGTCGGTGCTGGCGCGACGGGGTTCCGGACGTTGGTCAGTGCGGAGGATCTGCCGGCGGTGTTGGTCGCGTATAATGATGCGTTGGTAAAGGTGTTTCAGCTGGCGCTGATTTTGGGCTGCTTGAGTGTTTTTGGGGCCGTCGGCGTGGAGTGGCGGAGCATGAAGGGGAAGAAGGTGGAGGTGGCGGCAGCTTGAGGGTTGGCCTCGATTATATTGAAGTCTGCAGCTATTTGGAGGAGAGAATTTGTACACACAATCTGTTTTGAGGTATAATCTTTGGAGACTGTCTCCCCCTCCTGAGCCCACTATTCAGTCTTGTTCCTATCTTGGGTGTGCTGGCTGGACATGTCGGACTTCGATGTATCCCAGTGCACAGGATATATCATAAGCATCTGGCGGAATGAAAAATTGCTGAATCATCTCCTAGTATAAAAGTCGAGTAAATTATCAACACCCAGCCTTCGCTGAGATATCTGTACTCTGACCATAATGTAGATGGTAACAGGTTCCAGTGTGAAAGAGGTTGTTTTGGCGCAGCGTGGCATGGGCATCGCACTACCCCAGGTGGCCCAAGCTCTCTCTACCGAACCTGGCACCCACAACTGCTTATTCTTCTTTCCTCGGATGCTTCGTCATCAATTCATCGATCCAGACACACCTCTAATCTGGATCATTTCTACAGGCGACTTGAAGCTCTACTCATCCAGCGACCCCGCCGACGCAGCCCCCGCCTGCTCAATCAACTCCTGCCTCAACCACGCATCCGCCGGCGTAACCCACCACGACACCACCGCAAACACCGTCACAATCGCCATGATAATTGGCGCATCTAATAAAACAACCGATCAATCATTAGCCCATTACCTAAAAATCAAAGCCCCACCTTTCTCCGTCCTCTATTCAGGAACAGAAAGTCAAACTTACAATTCAACGTCCCCGCCGAGACCGGAAACTCATACGGCGAGAACAAAACCGCGACGACCCACGCATTCCACACGACAGCAACAACCTGAAAGGGCACCCTCCACCGTCCGAGCGACCATTTTGCCTCCAGCTTTTCGTTTCGGGTCAGCGTCAACCGACCGAGACTGATGAGCCCGTAGGCCGCGGCGGAGGGAACCCCCGCGGCGGAGACCAGGGAGGTGAACGCCACACCCGACGGGAGGATAGTGCAGGTGATAAGGGCGGAGACGCCCCACACCACCAAAATGGCGTTGCGGGGTTGGCCTTCCTCAGAGACACGGGCGGTCCAGGCGGAGAAGGGGAGGACGCCGTCGCGGGCGACGGCGAAGACGAGGCGCGAGGCGGCCGTGATGGCGATGGCGGTGTTGAGCCACAGTGCCGTCACGGAGAGCACGTTCATGACGATGTGGCCGCCGCGGCCGAGGACGACGGCGTACAGCGGGACGAAGGGTTGAGGGGCGTCGTAGGAGAAGAGGATGTCGATTGGGGGCTTCGTGGGAGAGATAACAAGTTAGTTGTGGTTCTTCCGGAACTATTGGAGACTGGTGTGGCTGACGTACGGATGTGAAGAGGAACAGGATCACGGCTGTGAAACCTAGCACTCCGCTGATGACCGTGCTCCAAAAGATGCCCTTCGCTGCGTTGAGGGACGCGTTCTTCGTTTCTTCCGCGACGTGACCTGAGGCGTCGAATCCGATGAGAATTCCCGCGGTTGCGAGGTACGAGAGACACCAGTTCCAGCCGGCTGGGGCGCCGGTGCCGTTATATGTGGTCATAAAGGCTTCGTGGGCGGTTCGGAGGCCGTAGGTATTGTGGGCGCCGACCGGGAGCCAGATGAGATTCAGAATGAAGTCCAGGAATACGGCGCCTGTCGATAGCCAGAAGACGTATCGAAAAATCCGGGCTGAGGGTGGTTAGTTCTCCCATCTCTGGTCTGGTCGGTGACTTACGCGAGGCAAGGTTGATCCACGCCGCCAATGCTAACATCACTTCCGTGCAGATCCATTGCAGCGCACGGAACTTGATGTTCCCTGTGTCGGTGGGGAAGTCGACTTCAAAGACGGTCAATTCCTGTCGCTTGTGAGCTTTCCTGTGCCGGTACGAATTCCAATGTGTTGAACGTACCGACAGCATATAATTGACGGTGGATTGGGTGTTGCCTGCACCTGTCAGCGCGATGCAGCGAAATGGTGACGATACATACTGGCACAGAAAGTCGTCCACGCGGTAGTACTCCACCAAGCGACAATGAATCCGAACAGCCGCCCGAACCGACGACCTCCAGCCTCCGCAGCCCAGAGGTAGATTGAACCTGCTGTCGGGGCCGCGGAGCAGACCTCTGCAATGACGGCTGCGGTGATGAAGGTGAACACACAAGTCACGATATAACTCGTCCTGAACTCGTTTCAGCACAGGAACTGCAGCTCAACGATTGGAAACACACCAGTATGCCAGAGGGCCACCGGCCGCGATTCCAGTGGAGAACGTGACACGAACACCGCCGACAAAGTACAAGGCCGCTACGAGTTCAAAGTCAATTTCCGCCCTTCGCGACGAGGCAGTGATACTCACCGAATGAAGTGGAGAAGTTCTCAAAGAGTGAGTAGCTTCGGTGAAGGACCTTGAATTGTCAACATGGGACATTTCCAGCGCTCTTCGTCTATTACCTGTTTGTATCCGAGACGCTCCTATAATTATGAGTGTGATGATCCTAGTTGACAACTTATTGTGAACGACTAACCAATGCAACCTCATCGCTTTTATTTGTCTCAACGACCGTCGAGGTCAAATCGCTCTTGGCCGTCATGTCTCAATATTGCGCCAGACCTGGTCGCCTAGAGAGCCAAAATCTAATTGCAGCACTGACAGAGCCTGCAGACACGGCTCGTATTAAACATCAGAACCTTGTTGGCTAGTCGGTTGTCACGACCTAAAACGTGCATTAGACCGAACCAAGAGGACGGATCACGTCTTTTGCCCCACTTTATTCCACGTGGATGGCGACTCATATGCATGCTGAGTCGTGGAGATAAATAATATTGACCTCTGTGCGGTCTATTGCGCCATTGTGTGACAAGCCGAGGTGATAAAGTGACATTGCGGGTGCGGATGACGCGATATCCATGCGGGACCCAGAAGCTGAACTGCTCCTGTATCGGAAAGAATCCCTAAATTCTATGCGGTGCAATATCCAGTTCTGCACGGTTTAAGATGGATGTGCACGATTATCGGGTTCCGCGGACGGGGTTGACATATATTATATGTTGCACGGGTCGTGGGAACGGTGCCAGCAGAATACAAAATGGGCTTGATTATATTGGCCGCTTTACTAGCCTTAGCCACGGTCGTCGCTTGGGTGAGTGCAAGCCATTAACCACAAAGCTGATTTATTTGACTGATTGTTTAGCTCATATACACCTACTTTTTCTCCCCCTTGGCCTCCATTCCCAATGCCGGAATTCTGGCTCCCGTCTCCCGTTTACTCTGGGAGTTTCCCAGCGAGTACCAAGGCAAAGTCACACTAGAGCTACCCAAACTTCACAAAAAACTTGGTATGACTGTCGTTCCCCGACTGCAAACTTAGCTGACAAGTGAACCCATGCTTAGGTCCCCTCGTTCGGATCGGGCCCAATCAGATCTCCTTCTACTCACTCGACATCTATAAAACAGTGCATGCACCACACAGCCCGTTCGCCAAAGACCCTCGCGTGTATAATCAATTCGTGCAGGATGGCCATCCTGCGCTTTTTTCAATCACGTAAGGCTTCCAACGATATTCGTGTGTGATTCGTCAGCTGATGTGCAAATACGGCGAAGTGATACAAAGGAGCATGCCCAGCGTCGACGCCACATGGGTATCCTGTTCAACCGCAGCAAGGTGCCCGCGTTGACAGAGATGATGCTGGAGCAGATCGATAAGTGGATCAAGTGTTTGAGTCTCGTTATGGTGGAAGGGCCTATTGATCTCGGACCGTCTTGTCGCGCCTTGGAGTCTGATATTGTTTGTGCGTATTGGCCTTACTACTTTGCAGAACCAGCTAACTCTAGTATCTAGCAACATTTGCATTTGGCAATGCAATTGGGGGGATAGAATCTTTTCAGAAAGGGGATGAGTTAGCGGTCATCAAGGAGAATGATCTCAAGTCCGCAAAAATGCCAGTGGTAGGTAGCAAAATGACTCGAGTCGCACGCTGCTAACGCCACAATATCCAGTATGTGAACTTCCCGGTTGCTGTTGGTCTGTGGCACTCGGTCGCAGCCTCGGTCTACCGCCTCTCCGGCTGGGAGGTGTCCTCGGTAATTAGCTCGCAGCGCTTCGACAAGGTACGGCTTCCCATAAACAAGGATTATCTCGTCTGACAACTAACGGTTACACAGTGGGCCGATTCGCAACTTTTCGGGATGAAAGACAGCGAAAAGGCGCCCCGCATATCCTTCCTCAAAGTCATGGCTGGGGCTAGGGTGTCCGAGCAGTCCGCACTCTCGGAAGCCAAGGAGATGCTGGGTCCCGGCACCGACACAACCTCCGCCACCCTGGCGCACATCATCTACGCCCTGGCGTTCAACCAACCCTTCCAAGTTGAGCTGGTCACCGAGCTCGACGCTTCCGGATGGCCCACCGACATGTCCGCCCTGGAAGCAATTCCCTGTCTCGTCGCCTCCGTTAAAGAGGGGATAAGGTGGACCGGGGCAGCCGCCGCAATGCTTCCGCGCATCGTGCCGCGCGGTGGATACTCGCTGGCGGGAAAGCATCTCCCGGGAGGGGTACGTTCAACAGCATTTCTTTCTCTCTTCCAGCCCATTCATCCGACTAATGCCCCAAATTTAGACAATGATCTCCAGCTCCCCGATCTGGTATCTCCGCGACGAGACCGCATTCCCGGACCCCGAGCGTTACAAGCCTAGTCGGTGGCTGGGCCAGGAGAAGAACGAGGCGACGTCGCGGCGCGATGACTACTACATCCCGTTCTCCAAGGGCGCGTCTACATGTATCGGCAATCAGTAAGTGTCTCTCAAGTATCAATCAGGGAATAGTAGAATAACCTTTGGCTGATACAGCTTTGCATATCTGGAGCTATTCCTGTCGCTCTCGCAGCTGCTGAAGCGATATTCCATCCACCCGATAGACCCGTCTGTTGCCAATGATGCGGACTACGAGGCTGTCCTCCCACCACGACGGGAGTGGGTCGCTGCTGTGCCGCTCAATCGACTAGAGGTAGTTTTGCAGGAACGGTCATAGTAGGCAATCATTGCGATCTTTGTATGGGTGAAAAGTGTGTCAAAGCCTGTTCCATATCCTGTCCACCCTCAACCCAATCATGCCTATCGTGCTTGTCTATAGTGTCTTCTTGTCATGGTCGTGGCTTTCGCTGCCTCACTGGCAAGGAATCAATGGGGCACGGGTGGACTCATTAAGCGATAAGCATTTACAAAACCAGTGAGTGGAACTCTGCTATAGATAGGAAAGCGATTAAGCTTTCATTTGAACTATGAGGTCGGAGGAGTTCACCACTATCCCCGAATGTATCAAGTGGTGTGTGCAGCCCGCCCAAGATGGATGCGTGCGGGCCAGATCCGTGCGGGCCGATCTGGTGCCGTACCTGCAGACGTCATGTCGGCCGTTTGACCACGGGCACCCGAACCCGCCGAGTCGGACTCCTGCGGATTATCATGTCAGTGACTTTGTGAGGAAGCTGTGATTTTGTATCTTTCTTCTTCACTTTTGGAAGGGGGGTCCCTCTATGTGATCCTCGAAGGACTGACCTACGGGGTCTTTGATGAACTCGTATCCAAATTGGGACAGGATGACCTAGCCAAGACGAAGAAGCGCAAGTGTGGAGTTATTCGGTGGGGAATCGGAGGGGGGGAAGGCTGTTCAGAGACAAGAGTTTGGGAGAAAAGGCCGTGGATTGTCTGTCGGCAGATGGCAGTGTCAGTTTTCAGTCCCGAGTTAGCATCCGCTGAGGCTCTCTCAGGTGAACGTGAATGAAAAGATAATGATAAGGATCTGTTCTTTCTCACTCGGTGCACGTTTTCCGGTGCTATCCTGTCCTTGAGCTTTAGGGATGGCAGAAGTAGAGGCGTTGGGGTCATCGACGAGAGCAATCTCGTGCAGCGTAAGGTATGAGGTGCAGCGGGCGCGCGTCGAGGATGCGGAAGTTGCTGACCAGGCTGATGACCGCGTTAGATTGGTATGATCTCATGCTACTTGGCTGGAGAATTCTAGGAAGTGAGTTGGAAGGAACAGCTTACAGGTCCAGTCTCCCGAGCTCCGCTACACTGGCCCGGACCAGATGTTCCCACGCCGGAAACTTGCCCGCGTCGGTTGGGACAGGATGGTCGAGACGGAGAGGCACATATGTATATGCGCATTAATGGATTATAACGGTCTGATGCAGGACTGATGGCAAGTAGCCTGGATCCGGGAATGATGGAGTGAGTGGGTGGACTGAGAGAGATGAACAGTACCAGTACGCGTTCGTTCATTAGACTCGGGCCCAGCGCCAAAGCTAACAAGGAACTTTACAAGGGAATAGGTACCTTAAGTATTAAGTGAGTTCTGTAGTACCTAGCGTAATACTCCCGAGTAAGTGCTCAAGCTTAACTGAGTGGTTCATGTTGCGCAGCTGACAAATCATTACTAATACCGTCATATGGCTACGGCGATACTGACACTTACCATATGGTATAAAGGTATAAAGCCCCAGCGCTGATGCGGGATCAATTGGTTTCATCATCTACTTCATTTGAGATCCACTTGAATATGGCTACAGACACTCCAGCAACTGCTCGACGATGGTCCGTTATGGGCCAGGATGGGATTGAATCCCTGGTATATGGGGAAGTCCCGGTACCAGCGCTTCGGGACAACGAGGTTCTGGTCCAGAGTGCGTCAGTGAGCTCTTTTACCTGCCTCTATCGACTAACCGAGTGATAGTCCGAGGTGCCTCTCTAAATGTACGTGCCCAGGCCTGTACCTCTGCGCGCGACTCGCTGAGAATGATAGCCGCGTGACCTGATGATCAGTCGCGGCAACTACCCCTGGGCCGTCAAGCCGGGCGTTGTGCCTGGTTCGGATGGCGCTGGGGTTGTCTTGTCCGTGGGCAAGAGCGTTACTCGGTTTCAGCCTGGAGATAGAGTGATCACCATGCTCAATCAAAAGCACATCACCGGCTCGGTGACCGTTGAGATCGCGCAGTTCGGCACTGGTGCCTCGGTCGACGGGGTCTTTTGTTCATCTGGAGTCTTCGACGAGCAAGCACTGGTAGCAATGCCGGATGGGTTGAGCTTTGTTCAAGCTGCGACACTGGGCTGTGCTGGGCTGACGGCTTGGAATGCGCTGTTCGGGCTGGCTGGGAAGCAGGTTACGGCTGGACAATGGGTTCTGGTTCAAGGCACAGGTTGAGGTGCTCTCAATCGCCTGATCCTGCTACTTGCTAATACTTACGTAGGCGGAGTGAGCCTCTTTGCGCTCCAGTTCGCGAAATCCGTCGGTGCCAGGGTCATCACCACGACCAGCTCCCCCGAGAAAGTCGAATTTCTCCGCGCGCTCGGCGCCGATCATGTCATCAACTACCAACAGACCCCAACGTGGGGAGCCCTCGCTAAAGAACTGACAGGTGGTTGCGGAGTGGACCTCGTCGTCGACATCGCCGGCCCAACCACCTTGAGGGAAAGCGCAGCTTGCGTCAAGCTGGATGGGACAATCGCGGTGGTCGGGATCGCTGGTGGCAGCCCGGAAGGACAAAAGATGCCCACCTTGCTCGAGGCCTGGCTGAATCTGTATACTGCGCGGGGGGTTTGGGTTGGGAGTCGGATGCAGATGGAGGAGATATGCCGTTGGATCAAGGCGCACCCTGACTTCCAGCCTGTTCTCGATCCCAAGGCCTTCAAGCTTAGACAGCTAAAGGAGGCCTACGAGTATGTGGCTTCAGGGAAGAGTCTGGGGAAGGTGTGTGTGGAGATTGACTGAGAGCTAATACTTGTATATGGTTTGGTAGACTGATGGGTCAATGGGATGATTGTCTCTGTATTGCCAACTGAAGTTGTGCGCTTCTACACCTCTTAGAGTCAGTTTACCCAACTACTAGGTACCCTATCATGACTGCAATTCGCACTCATAAGCCAAGTAAGAGTGGAAGGTGGGGAAGATGAGGGAGTTCCTTCTCCAGGGTCTCTACTGTATTGTGCTGCCGCAGTGTGCTACGCTTCCCTTACTGCGCTTGCCTTCACTGCACCCAGTGTTCACCCAGTGTTCACCCAGCGTGGGTTCCTTCCCTCCGTGCCCAGCAACAACCGCTGTTTACCTACTCTCCTTCCTCTCCTCTTCTTTTCTTCTCTTCCTTTCCTCTTCTCTTCCTCTCTTATTTTCCTCCCCATACCACTTGAAACCTTGATGCTAGTATTGCTTTCAACGCTCTACGATTATCAAGATGTTCTCTCGTGCGTTCTCCCGTCTTTCCCTGCGTTCCTCTATTTCTTCTTCTTTTTCTTCTTCTTCTTCTTCTTCTTCTTCTTCTTCTTCTTCTTCTTCGCTGACGGAGGGTCCGGTACACCCTTCTGACGCAGCCACTCCTTCAGTTTCCTTTTTGCAGCCTGTGACTCGTGTTTTCTCTGCTTTTTCGTCTTTCTTCTCTCCTGTGCGTTCTCTCGAAGATGCGTCCCCTCGTTCAATCTTGGTGAAGCCTGTGGATGGCGACGTCCGCACGGTGAAACCCAAGAAGAAGGTCTCTTTTGCGCAGGCCGACACTGTCTCTACCGTTTCCCGATGGCTCGTTCCAGGCGTTAACGTCTGGGCCGATAAGGATCTGACTGATCCGTCCATTCGTGAGTATGATATGGTGAGAACTCATCGGAGTTCTCCCGTCCGCTCCTTTAACCCTCATGCATTGGGGGCTCTGGCCTTGCTTAGTCTTTGTGTCTTTCCTTTGCTCACCATGTACATCAAGTCACTCCTTGGTTGATTTGTTTCTGCTCTGTCCGACTTGGTCATTCTTTTTGAGCGTGGCGCTGCCAATGGCTTGTTTTGTGTTTGTATGTGGTGTACTTGTCCGACCTGGTCGCTCCTTTGCCACAGTTTGATTTTTTTTTGTTTTCTCTGTCCGACCTGGTCATTCCTTTGAGTCTAGGACTGCTATTGTCTTGTTTTTTGTTTATAGGTGGCTTTTCTGTCCGACCTGGTCACTCCTTGCCACTTCCCCCTTTTACACACACTCTCTTTTGGACCTGGTTGTACCGGAACCAGGTCGGTTATTGCTTACTGGACAGCAGATCGAACGGAACGGCCCGCGGCGATCCCCCCGAACCCTCGAGACGCGTCACACGGACGCTTGTGTTGGATAGAAACTTTCGGAAATCTGGTATATGCTACCTTTTGTGCAAGCGAATACAGCTAATCATATAGCAGCTTGGTTAACCGACGTCGATTGCACCTCGATGTGACGCTTGTGTTGGATAGATACTTTCGAAAATCTGGTACGTGCCACTATCTTGGCAAGCAAACACAGCTAACCCTTTGCTCAGCTTGGATGGCCGCCGCGAAACGACGTTTGTGTTGGATGAGACTTTGAGGCGTCTGATACCGTCTTCATTGGTGAACTGCAACTGACATGTCATTTAGATCAGATTGTATGCAGCTGGACTGTGCTGGATTTCCTTTGTCTTTTCCTTTGGTCTGGGATATGGAGTGAGGCGTTTTGGCTTAGTGTTTGCTGCGTTGTGCTTTCACCTTTGTCCGACCTGGCCACTCTTTGGCCACCTGCCTTTGCAATTGTTTCTACGATTATATTTCGCTTTTATCTGTCCGACCTGGTCATTCTTTCCAGTCTGGAGTATCAGTTTCTTTTCGTTTATGTTTAATTATACTTTTGTCCGACCTAGCCGTTCCTTACCACATTGGTCTCAACATATATAAGATTTTCTTCAATGCCACTGCAACGTTCCGCTTTGTAGTCTATGTCAACTTTAAGTGAAGAAAAGAGTAAAAGATTTTATATCTGACCTTCACATCGTTCCTCCCTAGCAAGACTATTTGTCTACTAGGTAGCCCTTATCCTCCATGTTAAAGCTGTACTGGCTGGGCTGGGCTGGGCTGGGTTAACCTGCTAGCTTTACCCGCCAGCTGATCCGGGCGGTTCAGATCCCCGTCCGGTGCGACGACCATATGCTTTATATTTTACTGCCTGCACGGTAGTACATAATCCACCCGAAAGCGTTTTCGGTTCGATGGAATTATTCACTTGGGAAATATCAATAGGCATTGATCACCTAGCTACAAAAGTCTAGCATCGTGATATGGCATGGGGGGGATAGTAGAGAAACTAGCAAGAAAAGACAAAGCCACTTAAGCCGCGGAGCAAAGCAAAACAAATGAGATTTGGTGAGTATGAAACGTTACACAATCTAGATCTGGTACATACGACCACAGGGTGTGGAAAACAGGGCCTCCCGTCCGCTCAGCCGTACTTAAGCCACACGCCGGGAGGTTAGTAGTTGGGTGGGTGACCACCAGCGAATCCCTTCTGTTGTATGTTTTTGCTCTTATTTTTCCATCGACCGTCTTGACTGTATCAGGTTAAAAACACGGAAGGTGGTGGAAATAGCGAAGAAAGATGAAGAATAAAAGTGCGAGAAATATCAGATATTCCCTATATTCATACAGTACGCTATGCCGGACTGGGAAGGTCAGCTTTCCCCAACTTATGCGGTAGGCAGATGCGATAAGGTCTGACAGATGCATCTGCATGGGGAAGACCACGTTGCCTGTGCAAACCAGAGATCGCCCACATGGACAACTAAGAAAAGCAGTATGCCAAGGAAGTCTCCTGATAGCGAGAGTGCAAATGAATGGACTGTGCTTATGCTGTTGTCTACCGTACTGTCGGAATGACCGGAATAAACCACATAAGAGATGGATCACGCCGATGATCTGACTTCTGATATATGCAATCCTCCTGTAAGATCACTCTCGATTAAGGTGTCCGATCAGATCTCGATGTCTGCATGACTCGTCTTCTTGTTGTTAGGGACTTTCCCGGGACCAAAACTCTAGTAGGGCTCGGGAACCCGGAATTAGCGCTTATGCACCCTGAAATCCCAAGCCCACCGTGCCCCACATGTTCCCCTCTTCTTCTCCACAACTCGCCCTGCGATCATTGTAACTGTGGCGTGTGCTTAAAAGCTGTTTTCTCCCATTCCGGTCGCGGTCCATGCTTCTTTGGGGGGGTTGTGACGAATCCTATATGTCGTTGCAGGAGTGCCAGGGATTTCCTTCCCGGGATTTCCTTCCCGAGTTGCTGCTCCTGATGTGCGAAAGTGACCATAAGCCTAGGCAGCGTTCGCTTACTCTGGTAGGCTCGCACCATGGACCTTGGCGCAGAGGCTTTCGCGCTTGAAGTGAGACATTGCCCATTGTCAACAACAATTGGCGCCCTGTCATCTTTTAAAGCGTGGACGCCTCCTTGACAATTCTTTCTGCTGATTCTTTTCCCTCCGCTCGATTCATCGTCATGTCGTCGGTCACCCATGCGCTCACACGCTATGCCACCGCATCGATATCCGCTCGGCTGCAAGCCCGGCAAGACACGGGATTCTCGCAATCAATCCCGCTGTTCATCTTCCTCTTCACCTTCATTGCATTCTCCTTTGCACTCATCTGGGTCAGTCCTCCTCTCCCAGTGGGTTGGTCCGCATTCCAACTGACCGAATATAGGTCGACTACACCTGCAACCACGTGATCTTGACCCTGGCGGCGATCGAAGACCCCAGCCCGGATCCCTACATCCGCCTTCAGAGTCCCAACAATAACGATCCCGAGCTTGCAGACGCAATCACCTTGAACCCCAAGCCCATCACGAGCGGAATCCGCTCCGCCATCAAGCTCCTCCGCGCCCGTGGAGGAGAAAGACGCGGGCTCATCAGTCCATGCCTCCATGGATTCCGCCTATACCTCCCCTTCTACCTCCTCGACCGGGGTGTGGGCTTCTTCCTCAACCCGCTATTCTACTCGGGACCCGCCCGCCTCACCCTCGCCTCGTTCGCAGTGGAGTTTCTCGCGCGGATGTGCCTGGCCACCCTGCAGATGGGCTGGGTGCACGTGATCGTCGCCGACAAAGCCCCGCGGGCGCGGTACCGGCGGTGGGGGAGACTCGGGCACTGGCGACGCATCGCGCCGGCGGCGGCGGTGCAGAACGCGCTCGTGTGCGTCTCGTACACCATGTACCTCGTGGCGATGCCGACCGCCGCCTGGGCCCTGGTGAACGTGGCGGGGGTCGCGCACGGCCACCTCACCGTGGGGGCGAGCCTCCGGTTTTTGGTTGTCGTGCTCCTCCCGCCGGTTTTCTCGCTGGTGAGTACCTTGCCTGCACGAGTGGTGTTCGTGCGCGTGGCGGCTTCCATGCTTCCTGCGGAGGATGTGCCTGTCGTACCCTTTGATCGTCGGTTGGGGGGAAAATTGCGATCTGAGGTTGGAGGCGGTAGTGGTGGGGACAGGCTGGGTGTCAGGGATGCCTGGACCACTTGCCCTTGGTCGGTTTGGGTGCGCTGCTTTCAGATCACCTTCAAGGCGCTGGGCTTGGAGGTCGTGGTGGTAGTCGTGGGGGTCTTGGTCTTGGTGGGCGAAGCGCTCTTGATTCAATTGGCGGGGCCCGGCTTCTAGGTCCAGTCTTAGTTGGTCATACTACTGCCAATGCAATTAATGACATCACTGCATTTTATTTCAAGCAACGCACCGTAATCACCTCCTGGCATCTCTGAAAATGGTTAAGCGATGAAGAGAGTGCGTAGTCGAGGAACGGCCATGAAACATATGGGTTGAAGAGTAAGGGAAAACCGACACAGAAAAGACTATTCCCCAAACAGCGTGGAAGTTCCCACTGCACGATGTGCGTGATGCCATTCTGCCCGCCGAGAGAGAAATGTCCATCGGCTGGAACTTCTGTTTGCTCCTCCAGCAGCCGCTTCAACAATGTATCCAGCACGATGCGGGTCCGGTAGTTGCGAGTACGCTGGCGACGAGTAGATGGCATGCTTGAATATCCTCTCAGTAGGGCTGTTATGTGTAATATCTCAAGCAAGGGTCTATCGATGGAGATGAAATTGGAAAGTAAGTCGAAGGGATAAACCTTTGCTCTCCCCGATTTCACCTTCGCGGGATATGACACCATTCACATCACTAAATCAAAGGTTTGTTTACTTTGAATGATGATTTCAAGGATTCAATTGCAATCTCGTCCTCATCGTCACACGTCTATAACTCTTCTCTCACCACAACCCAACATGTCTCAACGCGCAGTAAGAACAAATACGGCGGCAGCAGCAACAGCAGCAGCAGCGTCCGGGGCTGGGGGCCGCAAGCCCAACCAGGGCGGAGGCCAGGGCGGGGGCGGGGGCAAAGGCAACAAGGCCCCAGGGTCCTGGCAGGACCGCAAGCACCAGGTAAGCTTGGGAGTGATGGCTTTCGCTCATTTCAATGCCTTGCCTCTGGGATTGGATCGCTTACACCGCGCTTAGCATTGCACGCGTTGTAGTGCCTTCGGGCACACCCGCGCGGTGTGCACCCGTTTCGTCCCCCCGGGGACACCGCGTTTTGTGCGCCCCGCCCACCAGCACAACAATGCCCGCTCGCGGCGGGCCCAGCGGCGGGCCGCGGCGGGCTTGGCGTGGGGGCTTGAGGCCGGGGAGGCGGAGGAGGAAGAAGAGAAGGAGGTGAAGAAGGAGGAAGAGGAGTAGATATCGCTCTTTGAGCGATTTTTCCCCCTGTGCAAGGGGTGTTTCCCCGCTGAACAAGCGGACTCCGGCAAAGAGCTCGCGCCTCAACGCGGTGTCGGAGTCTAGTACCCAGTTTATCTACTGGTGAAGCTCCGAGGCTTTCATTGAAGCAAGACTATCTATATTGCGGAGAGATAGTCCCTAGCAGCTACAAAGCGTAGAGCATCCTAGTCCACTCTTTTCAAAGATATCCCAAGACTACTTCACAAGTGAGGCAATGAACCATGAATAACCTCGTTATATGCCTCAATGGCAATCACTCCGGCAGGGCAAGGCTATACCTCACAAACACTGTGAGTAATAGTCATTGACATAGGTGCAAGTGTACCCAGTGGCACACGCCGTCGGGCCACTCCAATTAAGCCCTCCACACTGCCCCCAATGAGCGGCCGTAGTGCCCGTGCTCGCTGCGCCCGTCGTAGTAGTCGTGGTCTTACCAGTGGCACTAGCAGTGGTGGTGGTGGTGGTGGTGGTGGTAGTGGTGGTGACCGTAACTCCCATCCCTGCCAACAAACCATTGTACGCGGGCTTCTTAACCAGATTCTCATCCCAAGGCAGCGCCGCTCCATAACCCGAGAACGTGCTGGGCACCCAACTGTATTTATCTGTCCAATCCCAGATGGTGAAGCCAACACAGCCCGTGGTCTCCACGCAGGACTGCACCAGGGCCTGGAAGTCGCTTGACTGTTGGGCTAGGGTCGTTGCGGTGGTGGGCAGGAGGATGCGCACGTCGGCCTCTGTGTAGGCGACCTCGACGCCGAGCGCAGTGAAGGACTGCAGCACCGAGACGAGGGAGCTCTTGCTGGGCACGGTGCCTACACTGAAGTGGGCCTGGAGGCCAACTCCGTCGATTTTGGCACCTGCATTCTTGACGAGCTGGACGATGGCTCGGGCGCTGGCGGCCTTGGCACCGCCGTACTCGAGATTGTAGTCATTGTAGAACAGCTTTGCGTCCGGGTCTGCGGCAGCCGCTGCGGCGAAGGCAATAGGGATGTAGGCTTCGCCGATGGTGGTGTAGAAGATGTTGGTCCGGTAGGTTCCGTCGTCGTTCAGCGCTGCAAACGTGTCAGGTTGGTGGATGGGCTAGATGCCTTGGCTTGACTGACCTTCATTGACCACGTCCCAGTGGAGACATCTCCCTTTGTAGTGCGACACCACGTTTGTGATGTGGTTCTTCAATGCGGCGGTGAGAGTGGCATTAGTCCAGGTTCCGCTGGTCACTGTCCCCAAAAACCATTAGTATCCTTGTCATTCTCTCTCCAAAGGTCTGAAAGTAAGAGAGAAGACACGCACCCCAGCTAGGCAGCTGGTTGTACCAAACCAGAGTATGACAGCGCAGATACTGGCCGTTGCCCTCAGCCAAATTTGCGATCACATCGCCATTGGTGAACGTAAAGGTGTTCTGAGATGGTTCCGTGGCATCCCACTATTATGAATGGTCAGCAACAGTCACATGGCCTAGACACACGGCATAGATCACCTTCATCGAGTTTCCGGGAGTGATTTGACCGAAGTCCGCGGTGTTGTTCAACTGAGTCACGTATGGGATATCCGTGAGCTCGGGATTGTCCGTGGCTGTGCCGAAGTATTCAAGTCCTTTGGCGACTGCAGCTTCATCGAGCCCAACGGCAGAGACACTGCAGAGTTGAAGATTGTGATTAGCCAGGATTGCATTCCTCGATGACAGGATTCAGAAGATACGCACATGCTAGGTAATACAGTCGCGGCAAGCGCCGCGGTAATCGAAAGCAGTCCGACCATTTTCGCGTGATTGTGGTGATTCTTCGATCAGAAGAAGCTCGTGGTCTCGACAGCGCTACTTATATGCCTTGACTCTCTGGCAATTCAGCCAGGCAACGAGCCCATCTAGGTCCGAGCCTCGGAGTAATGCTCCGCGGTTAATCATAGCCCATGTCCGTTACTGGCCAGGGCAAAACGGGAGAAATTCTTTGCGATGGAAACATCGAGGCTAACGCTGCAAGACACGGAGCGAAGGTGAGCTGCGTGCAAACATCGCGTGGCATGACGTGGATTGGTTTGAAAAATAACTGCAGCGTGGGTTTCCCCTGGGGTTTTAGCCTAATTGCGAGGTGTAAGAGTGAACAAGGCTTTGAAGGAAAGTTGTGATGAAGCTAAATCGCGCCACTCCGTGGCTAAACGGGCTCTCCGCACGTACTCCGCACTTTGCGCATCGGCAGCCGGCCCGAGGACCGGCGGCATGTGGTTCATGTAAGGAGGGCACTCCCTCCTGCATTAAGCCCGTGGAGAGCTGAAGAGCAGAGGCATGTTTGATTTGCTGGAAGAGAGAACAATATATAATCGAAGTGACATAGATCAACCGCAACATAACCTACTATGGAAAATACCTGTAGCCACATTACAACTTATACATTGGGATGTTATTGTCGGCGTTCCTGCGTAATCCGGCCACGTGATCCAACGCGGTTACCAGGCTGCTTCACCTGTTGATATCGGAGATAGTTCAACAACAAGCCAACCACCAAGAACCAAGAAATGGTTACATATCGCGTATTCCTGAGTACCTCAAACTGCTCGCAGTTATGATACTGGCCAATCATATTTGCCAAAACCGGGTCCAGAGAGCACGCCTGAGACTAGCTTCCATGAACGCAGCACGATGCAAAGACGTGGCAGAAGCTACACGAACAGCGGCGAGAGCGACATATACTCCACCTGAGGTTGAGTTCATATATCGCTCATCTCAATCGCGCAGCAAGTCAGCCAAGATCTCATTCCCAAAGTCCTCCGCCCAAGCAAGGGGCGTTCTCCCGTCCTGATCGGGCAGAGTTGGATCGGCATCCGCTGCGAGCAACACCTTGGTGACGTCCACAAACCCATTCTCCGCCGCCAGTGACAACGGAGTCCGACCCTCGGCATCCTGAGAGTTACGGTCCACACCCTCCGTGAGAAGCAAAAGCTCCACAACTTCTTTCCAGCCAGCCTGCGCCGCTTTGGCCAGCGGAGTCTGTCCAAAAGTGTCCTTAACATCGGGATTCGCACCAGCCGCCAAAAGCAGCCGCGCGACTCCCACGTGGCCTTCTTCCGCCGCCATGGCCAGGGCGGTCTTTCCGTCCTCATCGGTCGCATGGACATCACCCGGTCCGCCAGCCCGAAGCAGGAGATCCACTACCGCTTCGTGCCCGTTTCGCACGGCCTCAAACAATGGGATATTGCCCGCCTCGTCCCTCGGATGGGGGTAGACATGGTGGGTAAACAGCAGCGACTCCAGCAAAGCCGCCTCGCCATGTCCCGCCAACCACGTCAGCGGTGTCCGACCATGATAATCGCGAAGGTCTGGGCGAATGCCAGGGGTAGCCAAAAGCAGCCGGACCACTGCCTCATTCGGAGAACTCCCGGCCGCCGCCGCCGCCGCGCGATGTAGCGGGGTGGCGCCCCAGCCGTCTCGCGCATTCACGTCGACTCGCTGCGTCGCCAGAAGCACGCGGGCCACCTCCTCGTGGCCCGCGGATGCCGCGTACATGAGCGGTGTCACCTTAGAGGTCGGAATCAGTCGCACGTCCGGATCAACGCATTCCAATCCAAGCAGCATCTGTACGATTGACGGATGGCCGTACTGTGCCGCCAGCACGAGGGCCCGGTGGGCAACGAACTGCATCTGTGAATCGGACAGCAGAGGGCGATAGAGGTCCAGCAGTTTCTGCGCCGTCTGCTGATGGCCTCCCTCAACCGCCCAGCATAGCGCGGTCCCGCCGCAGTATTGGCCGTCGTACTGGTAGAGATAAGGGCTGACCAATTGGTAGGCGCGGGCGCAGGTCTGCGCGAAAGCATTGAGGTCGGCGGCGGAATCAAGCTGCGCTGCGATGTGTTGCAGGAGCTCGCTTGGTAAGTCAATTATCTTCATTTTCCGATTCTCGTTTGTTGGGTCTGGGAAGGGAAGAAGGGGAGACAAAAAGCGGATGTGGGGACGATAAGCACAGAAACTGATGAGGCTGTTAGGTGTTGGGTAGAGACTAGCCAAACTAGGTCAGGTGAGTTATTCCCGAGTCGTTTCGCGGGCCCGCCTCGATGGGCTGGGCTATCTTGTAGTTACCTCGGCTGAATAATAGTAGTTCATCTATTGCCTTGTACCAGATGTTGTACATAGTCTTCCATGTACGTATGTACGTATGTGCGTGGCAGGTGGGGGAGGATCACCGAATCATCAGGCACGGCTAAGTGGAAGCTTAAGCTAATTAAGCTAACAAGCCTATTTCTGATAGTCAGTGGAGCTCCAATGAAAGCAAGCTAACTTCGATCCTGGCAGTTCCGCACACCGAAATTTAATAGGCACCAGCATATCAACGGAGTTCTGATTGGCTGTCTCGCGAAGTGTTCTGGGGCCGATTGAGCCTCGACCATGAGAGTGGTGTCCCAGTCCGATAAGAAGGAGGACTAAGAAGTCCTTCCAAACGGGTTGTGGAGAACCATTGTGCAGACTCTCATCTGGGCAAGGTATACAAGCATCATGGATAGTACTCAGGGGCTACGAAAAGAAAAAAAAAAAAACCCCCCCATTTGGCCCCCAAATCCTTCACGACCCAAGATCCACCGTGACTTGAATCCCAAGATGCGACAAGACACAATAGCTCGGAGTATGCATTCATGCCGCAGCGCATGGCCGTAGTACTGTATATAAATACTACGCTCAACGTCCTTTACTCGAGACAGTACATCTCTCTCAACCAGAGCATTGTTTCCTTTCTGACTGGGTATGTCCTCCCCTTCTTGAGTTCTCAATTTGTGTCGTACTGAGACCAATGAACTTGTGTGCGTCTCGCAGCACCATTCACAACAAGTCGCGAACCCCCTAAGCAGCCATGCGAACTCAAATCTGGATGGCCCTGTTGACCGGTGCGTGCGCCGTGCACGGCGCGACGGCGCAAAACGTCACCGTCTATGGCCCGGGCGAGCTGCCCGAGGGTACCACCGAGACATTTCTGGCCTGCCTGACCAGCCTGGAGACCAGCTACCGCGTATACGTGGACGCCGGGGTGACGGTGATCCTCCCGCCGGGAAGCAACCAAACCATTACGCTGGACGGAGCGGACAGCGGGCTCTACGACTGCCTGACCATCTCCGAGGTGATGACGGGGTTGCAAGTCGCCGTCGAGGACACGGTCGAAGCCGACACGAATCAGGAGGAGAACAGCCTTTCCGTGAGGGCGGTGACCTACGCGTGGCTTCTCGCGAAGGGCGCCCAAGGCCAAACGCCGATCGGGACCCGGCTGTCCGCCAGCGCCAACAGCACCACCACCAACGACGAGGATCTCGGGCGACGGGACGATCCCCGGGGGCTGGCGAAGCGCACCCACTACCACTACTACGGCTACCTGTCGGACTACTCGGCCTGCACGGACTCGGCGCTGGTAACCCGCTACGGCAGCACCTGCTACAACCACAACCAGGCCTACTACGGAGTGCGGTTCGAGAACGCCTTCGCCGAGAAGATCCTCACCATGATCATCTGGCCGCACCACCGCTGCGAGAACGGCAACGTGCGCTCCTTCACCGTCGCGCCCCTGTCGGTCAGTGCCTGCCAGTCGCGCACGACCTACTCCTATTATGGTCATTATGTCACCTGCAAATGTACCTAGCGAGGAAGATAGATCTGGAAATTCCGTGCTTTGGGAGGAGTCTACGGTTATTATTCGCGACTAGATGGATCCGCGGGATTTGGCTTTGTTCGACTTCTGTATAATATGTTTTGTCTTCGCTTGGCCCATTGTTCTGGCATTGTTGTGCTTTGAGCCTTATTCTAATTCTCAAGCACAGGGTGAGTTGACGTGGTGTATGATAGCATTTAGAGATCGCTAGGCCGACAGACCTTATTCTAAATATTGCTCGCAGAGAGAAATGATTCAAAGATCTTAAATTCACGTTCGAGTCAAGCTCATTGATCTTGGAGACAAGATAGCGGACAGGGTTCGATTTGAACAACCTCTCTACTAACAGAGCCCAGTTAATTTTATCGGCTGAATCTATCAAACACGCTTTGGTTTCGATTTGAGACGATTTTCATTTATATTTGAAGGGGCACGGTAGATTTCAGAAAAGCGGGTGCGTCAAATACTTTCTGCTTACGACTGTGCGTAGTGAAACCAAACATTTGAACCAACAACCCCCTGGTTAAGAAGCGGCAGTCAGCACTTTCCAGCTTTGTGGTAGCCACCCCCCAATTGAAATTCTTTCTCCTCTGATCCTCCTTCCATTTCTTGATCAAAATGGAAGATGCAACTTTATGGCTGCGGTGAGAACAGCGACGGCTCTCTGGGGGAGCCACGGGCTTGTCGGAGACGGGACGTTGCCTTTCATCATTGCGAGCACCCCGAGCTGGACCTGGAGTACACCCCGCATTGCCCGCTCTAGGTTCTGGAACCGAAGAAAGTCTTCGAAGGCAAGGAAATTCGCGCCGTCAGCTGCGATACCGGCTCCATCTTTTTTCGACGTGGACGGAGACCTAAGGCACTTTGAGTGGGGGTCTCTGTCCGAATCTTCAGCGCGCGGAGGTAATGGAGGTAGGCACTAAGAACATCATCCAAGCCATCCGACTCGCAGACGATTTCGCTTTTCTGCTCAGAAATGGGAATCTTCTGGTCGCTAGGAAGTCTGACTCCCACAGGATTGATGCCAAAGGCATCAAGCACACTGCTGCGAGACGAGTCGACGACTGGACCGAACTTTTTCTCAGGAGCGGTAGCGGTTGTCTTCGTGGATAATTCGGAGACAGTTGTATCGCGGGACTCATGGGAGCACATGTGCTCCTTTCTGGAGGATCCCATCGACAGCCCCCCTCCAATCTACACCGCTACCTTCGCCTCTTCCGTGGTCAAATTGACATTGGAATTTGCTGCGCTCACGGAGGCAGGCGAGGTAATCCCGTGGGGCGACGAGCTTCCGGAACAGCCATCCGCTCCCCCTGACGATGACGAAGAAGTTGAGCAAGCTGAATTTCAGGCCCATATCTTGAATCAGCCGGTCACTGGGTGGCCTGCTAGACTCCTGAGACAGCTAGACTATAAGCCTCACAAACTGCCTCTTCCGCCCATCAAAGACCTCTCTACGGACGGCGCCTATACAACTGCAATTACCTATAATGGCGACTTTTTTGTGATGGGTTCGAAAGGCGGACATTGACCGGACATTGTGTATGCCAATTCCTGAAAGGGCCTTGAATTTCGACCCGCGACGATCCCTCGTGACTAACCTACAAACACACAAGTTCTGCGGATTCAGCATGCAGCTGCGGGTGGCCGGCATGTTATAGCTGTCACCACTGGTGGATCTTTGTGGTCGGCTGGTGATGGGCTCTATGGCCAACTGGGCATTGGACTCAGACAGTTTGGGTTGTGTACCCCTGATGGCGTGGTTGACATGGAGGCCAATGCGATCGAGGAGTAATTTACTGTCAAATGGGAGAAAATGAGGTCAGAAGCCCTCAGGGGTAAAGAGTGTGTGGCGGTATTTGCGATAGAACAACAAAGCCTCATACTGACTCGGGATCGAGACTAGGTCATGTGAAGTATAGACTTCCTGGAGTAGTTATGCAAAGATATACAATTCCAAACCTATCTTTGTCACTTATGAATCCTCTTTTTTCTTGTCCAATTAGTCCAAAGTTCCTTCCTCCAGGATGCACTTTGTCAATGACGGAGTTGTGTAGTTGAAGTGAACGAGTGATATTGCTGTCACATCAGGCGTGATGGGTATTAAGGGTTGTTTAAGAAGGTGAAGGAGGGAAGAGCAGAGGTATCGGTCGATTGATTCATGAGACAAAAAGAGAGAACATACAACAGAAGGGATTCGCTGGTGGTCACCCACCCAACTACTAACCTCCCGGCGTGTGGCTTAAGTACGGCTGAGCGGACGGGAAGCCCTGTTTTCCACACCCTGTGGTCGTATGTGCTGTTTTATCTTATCCTCAACCTTATATTCGCCATATGCACAGAAATACTGATGAAGCCAGACCAAGCTCTGGAGGCCGACTTTGTCGATGTCAGCCCGAGGGCGGCAAGACTGTCGAGGTTTCGTCTATTTGCCTGGGCCTCAGGCAGCCACATCACAGTCGGAATCTATAACAATTCTTTTCTGACCAAGAATCAGCCCAGAGACACATAATACCGCCGACCTCACACCGCTTACGAAGTCCCACCCCTTCCAACCTACTTTTGCTCAATCTTTACTCGCCTTTCCTCACGTCAGGTGACTTTAGTAAATACCAATATGTCTACTGATACGCCTCAATTCAACAAGAGACCAATGGCACTCTATTTCACGAATTTTTTCAACGCTAGGACAGTTGGGAGGGACAATAATACCATTGTGGTTTAGACTGGACCCGGGGAGGTGTGAGACTTTCCGAATGTGTATATTGTGATTACTGATCATGTATCCAACCCCCCACTCTCAGGCCGCGTGCCGGTATTCGGTAGTTGCCGCGGTCGGATCCATGAATAGTTCCAATTTTAGAAGCGATCCTTATCGCGACGAAGTATATTTAGAGTCTCAGCCAACAGACTTAGCAGTGTGCAGTACTCTGTACTCTCATAAGAATCTTCCTAGTCACCCCCTCCTCCCTTAACATCTATCTACAGATTCAGATTCATGACACATTACCAACTCCCCCAAACTCACAACAGGAAAAGCAAGAATAAACAAGAGAACAGTCCAACAACACAACCAGAAACATGACTTCGCCCCCGGCCTACGAATACACAGTCTTCCGCCTCTGCAAAGATGATACTCTGGCGACAACTGCCCAGAGGTACAAGCAACTTCGCCTGCGCGCCCTGTCCGTCGCCCCGGCCTCGTTCTCCTCGACCTACGAGATCGAAGCCGGCATCCTGGAAGACGGGTGGGCGAGCCGCCTCGCCTCGGACGGGAAGGAGACTTTTATCTGTGCGGCGACCCCTATCCATCAGACTTCGAATGCAGCAAGTCATGACGACAGACAAGGAAACGGAATGGAAGAGAGTATCTGGGTGGGTCAATTGACCTTACGCGCACTCAGTCCGGAGGAATTCATCCTTCCTGAAGAGTCGGGACAGAAGAGCCCCACTTTCATCACCACCAATGGAGAAGAGGAAGAGAGGGGGGAAGAACTCTGGCAAATGCTCAGCCTATTCACCCTCCCGGATCATCGGGGCCGTGGACTCGGGAAGCAGCTGTGCCAGGAGGCGTTGAAGTACTTGGCTTCTTATCGGTCGTCTCCCTCAAGGGTCTGGGTGCGGTTGATGGTCAAACCCGAGAATCATGCGACGGTGGGCTTGTACCAGAGTTTGGGGTTCAGGGAGTCGGGGAAATGTACGCTGGCGGAGGCTTTGGTGGCGAATGGGGATGCCGAGCTGTTGCCGGAGGATGTGAGTGGAGAGAAGTATAGTTCGCGGAGTGGTTTGATTATGATGTTGGAGTTTAGTCGGTAAAGGTTACTTGTAGTATAGATATTATCTACGGGCATAGAACAGAGATGTGTATGGTTGATTTGTTCAATTAGTTTATACATGCATAACGAAGTGTGAAGTCAAAGTGCAGGTCTCACGCCTCCCGACAGTCTAATATTCATGATGGCCACAGTAGTGGCTGGTGTGCATACATGCTCCCTACTTGTAAGGGACCAGTGTCCACTACAGTACCTGACTTTGCGTCTTGCCCGCCTTTATGATTGAGATGTGACATCATGAAGTGAAAGCGAACAGATCAAGAATGGGCACTGAATTCAGTCTACCAACCCTCCGTATCCTAATTTGCGACTGCAACAAAAAGACAAATGAAAAAAAGTGAAAAAGAAGAAAAAGATACGCAAGGGACAAAAAGAACAGAAGCGAGATCAAACCAGATTCACAACTGTCATGCAATCGCTCGCTGCCCTTCGAATGTCAGTCTTCCACTTCTCCTCCCTGCAACCTTCCTCCCCCTGCATCGTGTTCAGCACAAAGCATCCGACCCTCCGGAAGTTCCCATCATTACCAGGAACTTCCCTCAGCACGAGTCCACTCCATTGCCTGAGCCACTCATCCTCTACCAATACTGCCAATCGCAAAGATGATAGTCCTTCTTCATCCTCACCATCCCACTCCACTTCAACCCAATACCTTTCACCCTCCAACCCCGTCACCTTGACCCTGTGCCCTCCACCACCGATCAACTGCGCGTCAAGCACAAACGTTCTCAAACTGAGCATGGTGATTGCTCCCGCTGGTGAGTCTCGACGATACCCCACCTTCTCAGCCAGGCACCGCTGGTCATCCCTCACACTCAAGCCCAGCGGGGAAAACACCCTCCCTCCTTGAACAGACGCCCAACTCCAACTGGGCACGCGATCGCTTTTGTTTGCCCGACCACTATTACCGAAGTCTGAACCACCAACCCTCCAACCGAGCGACAAAGGCATCGATCCCCAAAAATGTCCCGCCAGGTACACGGCTGCCTCTTCCCGTTTTGCAATCGCCTCCTCTCCCTCATTTTCAGAAATCTGTATAGCTTTTATCCGCTCCCCCACCTCATCCGCCACCCATTCCACTCCCGCCAATATCTTCTCCGAGTGCATCCTCTCTACCCCACCTGTAAGGGTTGCAGTGTGCTCGTCCACAACCCTATACCAGAATTCCAGCAGGGTGGACCAGTCCGCATCAGCGGGGAGAGCGGTGTCGCGGTTGGGGAAGCGTTCCACGCCTGCCAAAAGGGAAGACGGGAGATAAGGGAGAATACCGGCGGGAAGGGTCTCGCTGGCAGGTTTGAGGCAGCTGCATTCCCAGAACACTTCTGCGGCGGAGGGGGAAATTGTCAGCAGGCGGGGAGTGGCGAGGCGGGTCTGGATTGTCACGGAGGAGTTGTGCTGGTGGTGCAGGGTTTGCGAGAGGTAGGTCCAGGGAAGGATGGTAAGGTTCGAGCTTGAGGAGTCATCGTCATGATTCATGTTGCTGCTCATGAAACCCTCGCTCATAACTCCAGTCACATTGGTGACCTGGAATGGGAGGAGCTTGACGTGCGAAGTTGCTGGGGAATGGCTGAAGACACTCTGGGCGAGATCTTCGGGTGTGGACACCGCAATGGTGAGGACAGCATTGGAGTAGAGACGAAGCTTTTCGTGCTCATTGTTGATATAGTCAGGCTGGTCCTCTGGTCCACGGCACAATTGCTCGATCCAGATGTAGTTGATCCCGACCGAAAGCAGTAGAGTGACGACCTCGCCAATGGCTGCGGGAAGATCAGGAATGCGCACGCCAGTGGTGCGCAACGCTTCCGCAGTGGAATACCATTCTCCTTCCACTGTTGCGGGGAGATCAATACTTAAAACTGCGTACAGTCTCTTGTGTCCTGTCTCGAGTGGAGTGATCAAGCGGACGATACCACCACGCGATGCGTTCAAGAGCTGCGACGGGTAGTACTCTGGTTGGAAGTTCTGAGCACAAGCATGCTCATTCTGGCAGGTCTTCATCCAATTCTCCACCGCCGTGCTAGCATCTCGCAGCCGAATGGAAGGGTTCCCAAGACGAGGGGCGGAATTGAACGGGATGATGGCGCTGGGAACGGCAATCAGAGTGTAGCAGAATGGGGTGCTCTCTTGAAGCTGTGGGTCATCCCTCTGGTGGTCGAGGATCACCTGGGTGTAGCCTTGGTTGGTATAGATGCGATAGCTCCAGCTTCCGTCAAGGGAGCCGCCATGCTGGGATCGATCGTGCAGCATAGGCTGGCAGATATAGCAGCCGCTGCTGGCTGCCGCGGTCAAGGAGGCAGCATCGAAATGATGGGGGCCGCTCAAGGTGGGGGAGTGAAAGATCCGGTCACAGTACTTGCAGAGCATGTTCGATGATTCAACTTCAAAAAAGTCTTGATGAAGAGGAGTGGAAAGGAAACTGCTGCGGATAACGAGCTGGTTAAATAGGGCCCCTGAAGGCCATGATGCAAGTAGGTGCAGCCAATCACAGCCCTACTAGAACGGCCCATTCTGGTTGGCTGCACGTCGTCCACGCTGCAGCCCTAATCTGATCCTCGGCCCTGTCGCTCGTCTGTTCGTCAACCGCGAATTAGACCTCGCGGTTCTGAGAAGGCAGATGATTGGCAGTCTCTACCTTCATTTGTTCCGATGGCAACTGTCGTGCAGGCGGCTGCAGACCATGCGAGGGGCCACGGGACGCCTTGTACCACCATTATGTTCCATCCAGTTGTGCCTGTACCCTCCGAGTCTGCGGGGGTATGTCTATCAACATGGCGGAAAGAGGTACAGGCTACATCATCCAGTTAATTTTGAGTTGTGCGCAGGTGCATCCACGCGTTTGGGGGCGGCTTCAACCCCAGAAGTATACGAGCTTTGTGCGACAGCAGCGAAGTACAGCTCTGAGCCCGCATTCTTGAATGGTCATACCAAGCAACGCCAAATGCTTACGTTGGATCGATTTCTCTCCACCAGGAACAATATCCCCACAGTTTTGAAGACGAATTTGAAGCCATAGAATATGTCTGTGGAAAGCAGTGGGAGATTCGCAGGTATAAAAGGACGCTCGTCGTCTGCCATTCTTGAGGTATCAATCCCCAGAGCGGCCAGTGATTTAGCCTATCGATAACATTATTAGCTAGAGTCGCAGGAAAGCAGAATCACCACCATGAAAGCAAGCATCATCTCTCTCTCCCTTCTCGGCCTTCTGTTTGCCGGAGTTGGTCTTGCCGCTCCGGTCGACGACGTTGCAGATGCCCCAGCTGAGGTAGATGGAAATGCTTCCATTCAGGAGATCCTGCGAGGAGTAAGTCAGTCTTGTCATTGAAGGGATCGTTACTGACACTGTCGAAGACTTGCAGCAGCGTGACGCAGCAGTGCACGGCGCAGAAGCGCCCGGGAAGCGTCTACCACGCTCCGTGCCCCAACAACCACCGCGTGAGTTTCTTTCTCCTGTGGCAAAGTTCGTCGTACTAATCAGGACCAGTGCGGGGCGAGACATACTTGCAACCTCGACACCATCCGGCTCACAGCTGTTTGTAGCTGAGCTGTTGTGGTGGTCAGCTCCGCCGCGAGCTCTGGATATTTGGAGGGGTCGGGTTGATGGGCCGACCAAGGAGATGCTCGGGGATTGACTGATTGCCAGCGATAGGACGGAGGACTCGGCTACAGTTGGTTCATTCAACATGAGTCTGCTGTTTTGCTTGTTGTATATTTGTTGAATTAAGCACGTTGGATCCACATCGTACCATCCCGTAGATTCTACACGTCGTCTCAGGCAATCCTTATCGCCTCTGGGCTGTGCTGCTTACCACTTCACGCTCATTGGACCTTGGACAACTGCCAGGTGGGTCTGTGATTCTTTTTCCCAGTGGGACATACCTGTCATGACAGCGAATGCCTCTGTAGGACCTTATGATACACAGTTCTTGACATCATGCCCCAGGTAACAGCGCAATTGAGCACCTTGTCCATTAATATACGTAGAGCAATAGTTAGTCTGGTAGGCTCGGCTCTCCACAGAAAATGAGACATCATAAGACCCTTGGCTGTAAATGAGTAGAATGGGATAGGGTAGTCTGATGGTATCATTTGTCAACGACGACTAAGACATTGTGAGAACCTTGATGGATTGATATGGCACTACTCCACCTTCCAAGTTTCTAGGCTAAAGCTAGATTTGTAATGATGGTATCAAAGATGACCCATGGTGGGACTTGCGCCCGAAGTACACATATAAAAGGGCAGTGAGGTACCTTCCTTTCCTATCACCATTCGCATCAACAACACAGGAACTGCAGTATACAAGCCCCTTCCACTTTCCAACCCCAGTCAATCAATCTCCTTCCGTCAAAATTAAGATTGTCTTCGCTCTGTCCGCTGTCATCTCCAGCGTGTTCGCCGCCGCCGCTTCCAGCGCCTTGCCTTTCCAACTTGTCATCAGCGGCGCTCAGTCCTGCGCCACCGAACTCAAGGGCCGCGCCCTCATCAGCCAAGGCGACGCCTTCATCCTGGCCCTCAAGGTGAATATGGAATCAACTTCACCGGTGGAGATGGTACTCTGGGTATCCAGAACGGTGATGTCGGTGAGTCTTGCAAATTCGTAACTTCCTGCCCCATCAGGCACTAAACATGAGCCTTAGTCTACGTTGGCACCGACGGACATGTCGACCTCAAGAGTACCGATGGCATTGCTGCAGGAGGGTTGACCCAGGGATTCACCACGGGCAGCGACAATGCCCTTAAGTGGGTCCAGGGCCAGTTCGTCGCCTGTCCCCACGTCTCACTCTACGCCGAGGGTCCTCCCACCTGCATGATCTACGCCACCCGGTCCGGTGCCGCGCTTCCTACCGACTGCATTGATGTCGACCTTGCTAAGGTGGCTGTCTGAGCTTGCTGTCTGAGCTTGCTGCCTGGAGTCCCAGGTTATAGAAATTAGTGGCGAAGCATTCGGATCTCTCGATAGTTTAACATATACTCTCGCTTACCATTGGATTAAATATCCTTATTCTGACTTTGAAGCAATACAAGATCATTTGAGCCATGATTGGTAGACCAGAGCACAGCTATTATAACCACCATTGTTGAGGTGCTGTTTGTTCACGGATATTCGATGATCCTGTGGTAATTGACAGGGAATATACGAGAAGCCAAGAATGGGCGGAGAATGCCAAGAGAGGTTCCCGAACTCCGGGCCTGTAGTCTAGGCGCTCGCCGTGACGAATTTTTAGGTTGGCAGTGTACACTGCCTCATCCGTCTTGATGTGCATCCTCATTCCGGCCTAGAAAAATCCTGATCATTGATCGAGTCCGCTAAGATTATCTAATGTCAAGACTAGCCGCACCTTTTGTCCCCAACTTCGTATAGGGCCAGACCGCTGGGTCCCGCCAAGACCGTCGAACCCCGGGTCCCCAGCTTCTGAACGAGGGGCCTCCTCGGATGATCTACAATTTGTCTTGACAGTATCCTCTTGAATAGTGGAACAATACTTGGCGACGAAGGTCAAGTGAGGCAGTACGAGCGTGCTCCACTCAGCACAGCCTTACATGCAGATTGACTTATGGCAGTCTAAGAAAGTAGTAGGATGCACCACCGAGTATAAATCTCCCCACATTCCTCGCCCTACCTTCATGATCATTGCCATCGCCTACAGCAATATAAGTCAATACACCGGCCCCAAAGCATCCAGCACATCATGAAGCTCACCCCAATCCTCCTGACAGCCCTCCTCCCCGCCACCATCCTCGCAGCCCCCGAAGCAGAACCCGACCCCGTTGCGGACCCCGAGCCCGAGATCGAGGCCCGCCAGGCCACTACAGGTTCAGTCTCCTGTTCGATCTTCGGGAACATCGTCAGCAAGAAGCTCCCCGCCCCCTGCGCGGTCAACGGGCCGACGTTCGCCAAGAACAAGAGGGTCACCTTCACCTGTCAGATCCTGACTGACGAGTATGCCCTACTTCCCTGAACCATTTCTTTTTTTTTCTTGGAAGCATTAATACTAATCAACACCCCTAGAACCTGGATAAGAATTGGACCCTTCGGATCCGGAAGCTCCTGGGTTCGACGGACTGATCCCGCTGTGCAGCCGTGCTCTGGCTTCGGTAAGTTGCCTTTTCTTGTTCTGTTCTTGCCGAGCTTGAATTGATGTAAGTGTGTAATAGCATCTGTGAAATTGCCCAAGTGTTGAAGTCGGGTAGCATACGGTGGATCTATGGCGCACTGGCGGGTTCGGTTGTGGGGTTCTGTTGCGTGGGTTCTTTCTCTTTTCCCTTTCGCTTCTGCTTCTTTCTTTGTTTTCTCTCCACCGCTGTATCTGTTTGTCATTTGAGTGCTTGGTCCGTCACCTTCGCGATTTGTTGAAGATTTCTGATTTGGAGGAGGAGAGAGAATACCTCCAATTCGCACGCTCCTTCCTTGGGATGTGTACTGGTACATTTGGGGTGTTTCTATAAATGTTTTGGATTTGCAATAGTGGAATACCTATCGTGATAGTCAAATTGTCTTAGGGTATTCGACTGCAGAGAGAAATTCTCGAATTAGACTTAACGATGCTGCGGATACGACATCCGCACCCGACGCCGTGGCGAGACATCCAAATGCGGGATTCGGATCAAAGGCTAGATATGGTTCCGGCCCGTATACTCCGATCGCCCCGTGGTTCGTGGTGGTTTGCTGCCTTTGAGTGGAACGGTTCATAACTTCGGGTTTGAGGTTACGAGGTGGCTGAGTAAATTGCTTGAAGCGGCCTTCCAAAAGAAGATCTATTCTATTCATATTTGCCGGTGGCTCTGCACTTGTTCTTGAACTTGTACTTCTTTGGTCTCGCCCCAAGGCTAAGTATGATCCCTCAGTCGGTGGAGAATTGTTCAGTGTGGAAGAAGGTATTGATATGCAGATGAAGCTCCAGATATATGCGCCCAAGAAGGTTAAATGCCGGTTTGGGGGAAGGCAACTCGAATTCTCAGGTTACGCATGAATTGGTACTTTACTACTGCACAGGGCATGCAATCTAAAATTTCCGATATGCCCTCTTATTCAACTCGGGAGCGACTTTATAGCACAGCATTGACGAGCTTGACAGCTTGAGCGTCCCCAGTTCAGTGCATAGTTTGCCTTGTCGTGGGCGAAGGTCAATGTCGCTTTGCAACTGGTAAATTCTTGTCATCTTAGATGATAAAGACCACCAGGTGGGTCATCTTTGCTCCCAGAATGATATTTTGCTGTGGTTGTTCTTGCGAGTGGCAGTGCTCATCTTTCTGGGACAGTCATATGATAGGAGTGCTCATGCTAGAAAGGTTCTGGATAGAGTCACAGATGTGGAACATATGTATGAGACACTCCACATGCTGAACTAGACCATGGGCATGAAGAGGCTGTCATCGGAGCAGGTAGCCGCGAGGTGTTTATTCGCAAGTGTCCTCTAGCACAGCATGCCGCTCTATGATCGCTATATCATAGGGCGGTCCTGAGTCATGCATGAAAAAAACGATCTTCGTAGTATTATTCCCGGAAAAGCATCGCATGACTCCTCCCTACTGCTTTGAGTCGGTGAATCGCCATCGCAAGGCGAATCTTCTATCTGATGACTTGGTAACAATAGGAGCAACGAGCTCCCGGGAGTGAGGGTGGATGGTTCGTGCTTCTACCAGGTGCACTAGGATCGTCCAGCCACTCTTGCCTAGATGAATACAATTGTTTGCCTTTCTTGATGACTTGAAAGCAGCGTGATTAAGGCGTCGATCATGCGGTCCTTCCGATCGCCAGTGATGGACAGGGATGGCGATGTTTCGATTCGGGCCATCTTCATCCTCGTGCGGCTGCGACTCTTGGGGTCTCAAGATATAATATCACTCGGAGAACCAAATACTGTCACTCCAACTGATAATTAGTCCCAGTCAACCACCTCCCCTCATTGCATTGAAAGAGTCAATCATCAGTCACAACACCTCTACCACTACATCATAAAAGAGAGTCGGTTTAGAGGAACATCTACAATGAAGATCGGTAAGTCAACCAGGCATCCCTCTCTTCAAACCCTCCACACCAAATAATTAAATCCACTTTCCACTCCTCTACCGCCATCCCACTAACATCCAGCAAATCCGAAAGCCACCCTCCTCTCAACACTCGCCGTCAGAGCCACCACACGCGCCGCGCCCCCTTTCCCTCCAGAACGCAGTACAATCTCCATGGCAAAGCGCTACATCCTCTTCAGCAAGATCCTGACGACAGACACCTGCATCGGTCTGACTCCGCCAGGCGTGCAGGCGTACTGCGGCTAACTGCGGGCCATCCACAGCTGCCCCTGCTCCGACCCCAATCCCGAGGGCAATATCGCGGAGGACTGTTCCAAGACTCTGAATGTTCTGGGGGCGTGCAAGGGGATCTTTGTGTCGGATCAGGATGCGAGTTCGAGGGATGGTGGGTTTTTTGGTCGACGCTTTAGGTGACAGTGTTTTTGAATAGCGGTGTCGCGGATGTTTTGGGAGATTGCTTCCACCTTGATGCTGAGAACACCGTGATTACTAGGGTTGGATACGCTGCGAAATGGTCTGCCGAAGATTATTGCACAAGCCTATTTATCCTGCATAATTGCATTGCTTACCAAATCTCTAGTTCAATGCAGACAAAATGCGGGGTCAAGTACCGCTCACTCGCTCAGAATGCGGGGAACCCCCGGATCGAGTCCTGATCGTCTGCCTCAGTGGAGAAAACGATTTCATCTAACTTGCCATTCGGCTTGGGTAGACGGGATTTCCTGCAGCTCGAACGCATCGTAAACTGCAGTAATAAGATACAGCAATACAGCGCATCCTACAGCCCGAGGCATCATCTGTAGTATCGAGGCTCATAAATATCAACCTCTGTCTGCAACAACCAAAATGTATCAATTCAGCCCATTGAGCTCAATTACCTCTGCCACAGCTTGTCTCCAACCCACAAAACTACGAAACAATGCACCTCCCAGCCCTCACCAGCTGGCTACCCACCGCCCTGTCCATCTCCCTCGTCACCGCCAAAACCACCCCTCCCCCTCCCCCTCCCCCTCCGGCCCCCACCCTCTCCTTCCTCTACACCGCCTACGTAGAATGCACCGAAACCCTCATGCTCTCCCCAGGGCCCCACGGCACCCGCAAAGCCATCCCCATCGTGGGCGGCAATTTCACCGGCCCACGACTATCAGGTACGAACACCCCACCTCTCCCTATACTCCATCATTCACGGACCTAAACAGCCCGACAGGCAAAATCCTCGATGTCGGCGCCGACTGGGGCCTCGTCGACCCCGCCACGGGCATCTTCTCCGCCGACACGCGGTACAACCTCCGCACCGACGACGGGGCGGACATCTTCATCCAGACGTCCGGGCCCAAGTCGCCGAGCGGGCAGTTACACCTGCGCTTGGTGTTCGAGACGGGTAGTCGGAGGTATTATTGGTTGAATAATGTTGTGGGTATGTATCGATTGCTCTTTTGGGGGGAAGTGGGGGGATGCGCAGAGCGGGAGTTGGGAGTCTTCGTGTGTGCTGCGTGGTGCGGTGTTGCTAATATGTCAACTACTCAGCGATTGGGGTGCTTACGCATGCGGCGGATGTCAATTCGACGTCGATCTTGAGGATTGATGCTTGGAATGTGAGTATCTTTCTCTTCCTGGGGTGGAGTGCGGTTGGGTTAGATGGCCGTGGCCGGTGCTGATGTGAATGCTAGATGGCTTCCGATTGGAATTCGACGACGTTCTTGGATGCTTAAAGCTTGGTTGGGGGCTCGTGGGTTGGGATCTAAGTCGGAGTGGGTACACTTCCCTAAATGGGCATTGAGAGGGGGAGAAGAAACGCGTGAACAAGGTTGTTATATTTAGGTTGAGAGTGCAGGATGATGGTTTAGCCCTTCCATGCTAGCATTGTATATAGCAACCCGACATAATAACAAACCATGTCCTAACTTGATCTATTCTCTAGCCGTAAAGCTCAACCTGCATGTCTGCCCCTTTGGTCGCGAAGAGATTATCTGATCATCAATTTCCATACATCCAGTCATATCAGCGGCCACCGTAGTGCGATACCTCGAATAGACCTCGCGCAGGAGGATCTTCATCTCCACCGTAGCAAGACTGCGAAACATTAGCATATATTGGTCCTCGAGAAGAAGCGAAAAGCAAAGAATCAAACGACAGGAAAGCAAACGAAGCGGCCAAGAGGATTCAAGAGTGAAACAAAACAACCGCGGGACCTACTTTCTCCCGGTGCAGCCGCGGGCCCCAGTCCCGAACGCAAAGAACAACCGGTTCCGCTCTGTCGCTCCGTTCTCGTCCATCCATCGATCCGGATTGAATCGATCTGGTTCAGGGAAAACACTCTCATCGAATCGATGGACTGTATACGGCTGACAACTGACGATCGTCCCTTCAGAGACAAAAGTCCCATCGATTGTCCGTCCGCCGCTGGGAACATACCGAGGGAATGACATCGGGATGGGCGGCGCGCAGCGGAGTCCTTCCTTGATGACCGCCTCAAGGTAAATTAGCTTGTCGAGCGGGGTATCCGGTGCCGTACTACGCAATTCCTCGTAGAGTCTGTCTTGAAATTTGCGGTTCTGGGGTTGTGACAACTCCCACATAAGAAAGCACAATCCATCCCCGGTCGTGTCAATCCCGGCGGCCATGTGGTCCTTGCACTCAGCCGCGACTTGATCGTGACTCAGCGGAGATTCCTTTCGAGTGAGACGCCCGAGAAGACTGTGGCTGTCTGGGTGCTCTTGCGCTGTGATACTCTGGACGTACGCATTAGTCTTGGGCGCGCGACGCGGCTTGACCCAGCTGGGGAAGTATGGGGTGAGTGTGGGGAGGTAGTAGTGAAGAAGGTTCTCTGCGCAGGTGAGTACAGAACTTGGTCGCAATTTGGCTGAGAAACATACTCTGCAGGCTGTGATGGTAGGTCAACTCCTCCATGATCTGGAAGTCATTCTCGTTGGTGAGAGAATCCAGCCCTCCTGGGCTGAACATGAAATGCGTCACGCAATCAAGGGCATAGCAATGGAGAAAGATCTGAGACTGTCAGCGTAAACCTTGTCACAACGGGGAATGCGTACATAAACGTCTACACTCTTTGCCACGGCAGTACACCTCGAAAGAAAAGCCTGGGCTCGGTCGCGAATGGCTGATACGTGGCTCTCGCGCAGGATATTGGACATGGCATATTTATCGGCCAGTTCCCGCTTCCGCTGACTATGCTGCTCACTGTTAGCCTTGTTTCTCGTGGAATACGTGATCACAAACCGAGTATTTATCGAGAGTTGAAAACATAGTTCTATCAGAATTTAGCAAGATAGACTACCCACATCAGATGAATCAGCATACTTGATCCCAAATTGGCGAAACATGTCGTAGAATTCGGTCTTATCGTAGCCGCTTCCGCCCGAGGCGTAGATCTCGCGGATGGCGTCAAGAGATGCAAATGATGCCTCGTTCGGGGCTAGGCGAACGACAGGTCCGTATCTCTTATGGAGCTGGTGGATATACATGCGACGATTGGTGGTGAACTCATGGTACTTGATCGGTAGGCTCGTGAATTTGGTGAGCCATGGGCCGGGTATTTTGGCAATGGGAGAATAAAGTCGTTTGACAAAGAAGGAACATAATGCCAGGGCCGCTACCACCCAGATTGATAACATTTCGGTTATGGCTTATCTGGCGTTGGGCCATTCTGTTGAGAAGTCGTCAACACTTATAAGTACTGGTGAATAGTACATGCCGTACTGATAAGAAACATCGGCAAGATAGCGAGCTATCCGCAAAGGGAAACCGTAAGAGATGGATTCAGCATTCATCGGCTGCTATCATGCGGGGTTGTGATAAGGATAAGGATCAGGTAAGGCACGGAGGGCAAGGCAACGAATGGATGTGAGTTATTCTCCACGAATTGACCCATACCTCCCTCAGGTTTTCCGAGCACAGGTAGCTCTGTTGTAAAGGAGTGGCGCATCATGAGCTCATCACGGAGGTTCGGACTGAAACAGTCAACTTCTTACTTATTCCTTATTTCATGCTGATATTTCCCCAAGGCACCTGACTACGAATAACCACCTGCACTGTTCTTACTGATGGGAATCCTCGGCGCTTCTACATCAATCAATAAGCATGACTAGTACGAACTCAAAACTGATGCAGTATGACCTGGCTCAACAGGAACAATACACCGACTTGCTTCTAGAGTGCCGGGATACCAAGTTCTCCGTCCATCGAGTCATCGTCTATCCGCAGGTCCCAGCCATCAAGGCTGCCTGTGAGGGGGGTTTCAAGATGAGTGCGATCAGTCTCCATCATAGACAAGCTACGCTAACCTAACTCTCAATCCAAAGGAGACGTCGACTCGGGCTTACTCATTCGTATCAGTTGAACCATCCACTGTGGGTCTTCTGGTAGAATACCGGGAACTATAGTACAAAGACCGAGGAGCGTGATATTGGTGGTACGGGTCCATTGATTCTTTCTGTCTCACTTCATTGGCGATTCACAGAATCGATGGGGCATGAGCTGGTTCGAACAGGGGAAGTGGTTCTGACAAATGACCGTAGCTTATCCGAAGCACTGATATCTAACCTTCGAGTTGCTGATATCGCAGATTATTTTGATGTACAACCGCTGCGGGACCTAGTCCACGTGAAAGCGAATGAGGTTCTCGCAACGCCATGGTCTCCAGCCGGGTTTGCAGATGTCATCGATGTAGCATTCCAAGTGAACGATGAGACTCTACATGATCTGATGGTCGCTACGGTCTTGGATCATCTGGATGACTTCATACATCCCGATGGGCCGAGCGAGCTCTTTTCAGATGAGCTATGTTACCGGGTGCTGCAATCGCTGAAAGACGATCTCAGAGTAGCACGTGAGAAGGAACAGGGCCTCGATCTGCAACTCCTAACGGTGTCATACTAAGTCAGTGTGACCGGATCTCATGGTCCTGTGATCGATGAGGTACGGCCCACGAGCACGTTTCAGAGATTACCATAATTATGGCTTCATGGTTACAAGTCACCTTGTTGGTTGTTCGAGGGATGCTACGGTGAGTCATGCAGGTCACGGGGCCACCAAATCGAGACACCGACAACACACCAACCTGGAGCAGGTTGTATCTCTCCCAAACATCTCAATTCTTTGGTAGCTCTTCTCACCAACCGCACCATGAATAATGGCTCTATTATCATTGTCGGGTAAGCTTAACTTGTAGTATCCACCCCCGAAAAAAGTCAGACGCACTAAGACCCACGAAGCGCAGGAGTCATCGGACTCAGCTGCGCCATCCGTCTCGCTCAGAGCGGCCACCGCGTCACCATCATCTCCAGAGAGCTCCCCGGCGACTTCCACATCGACTATGCCTCCCCATGGGCCGGCGCACATTTCCGACCTCTCCCCAGCATCAAGCCCGAGGACCGTCTCGAGGAGACGCTGATGCGAGAAACCTACCAAGAGCTTCGGCGGTTGTCGGAAATCCATCCCGAGGCTAGCGTACGGTTTGTCCCTGGCGTGGAATACTTCGACGTGGCGGGCCCGGCCTACTTCGACCCGAAGCTCACCCAGGAAAACGGCTACGCCTCGTGGCCCGGCTTCCGCATTCTCGACCCCCGAGAATTTCCTGAGGGTCATGGTTCGGTCAAGCTTGGGGTGACGTATACCGCCTGGGTGTTAAACTCGCCCGTGTATTTACGATGGTTGGAACGGCAAGCTGAAAATCTCGGTGTCCAGTTCATTCGTCGGGACCTGGCAGCGCTTGAAGAGGCAGTCTTCGTGTATCGGGAACAGGATCGCGAGGACACGGGTATTCTTGCGGTGGTCAACGCTAGTGGGCTTGGCTTCAATGATCCGCAGTCGTACCCCTCTCGAGGACAGTTCATCGCGGTTGCCAACCACTATGACAAGACTGTGAGCCATCATTGGTCTGATGGATCGACGACCGTCATTATCCCTAGGCCTTGTGGCGGGGGCACGATTATAGGTGGGACGAAGGAGCCGAACAATTGGTACGTGCATCGCTTTCTTCTTTACCCGCGGTGCTGATGGTTTAGGTCGCATTCCATCTCCAATACCGCGACAACTTCCATTCTTTCAAGAGCTGCAGCACTTTGCCCGGAATTACTGGAGGGTCAAGAGGACCGCACTAGCCCAACGCTTGGATTCGATGTTCGCGAGGTGTATATTGCTCGACGTCCGATGCGGCATGGTGGACTGCGATTAGAGAAAGATCGTCTTGTCTTCCAGGAGACAGCTGAGGATGGTATGAAGAACGAACAGAAGTCTGTTCCAATGGCTCATTGCTATGGAGCCGGTCCAAGCGGGTACAAGTTGAGCTGGGGTATTGCGAATCGAGTAGATGGCATGGTTAAGTCGTGCATCGAGGAGAGCCAAGCTTGAGATTTCCGCAACATAACCTTTTTCGATATCAGGGTAACTGATGCCTGAATTCACCTGCATGATGTGAGACTCCAGTTTCGGCTCGTTGACATGAATTACAGTAGGATCAATCAAATGGGCAATTTGACCCTCAAGGTCGTGAAGATAGTGAAGAGGAACATGGGGGACAAGCAGAGCACATTTGTATTTATTTGAGAGCGAGGTATCCTGGTTTTGTCTCTATCGATGAGATATTCAAGACGAGAAAGAATAAGTTCTCTAGTAACAGTAAAGTGTACCGATATGAGAGAAGAGATTCCATGTTCAAGGACATGGTCCAAAGCCGCTCTTTCAAGCAGCGCGTGAAGACGAAGACGCCACATGACTCTTACAGGACTTGCAGCATACTATAAGTTACTTTCCCCCTGCCACGACAGGACACTTATCTGCTTGGCGACACTGGCTACAGGTGACAATAAGGAAATGCTCAAACCGGGGCCAAAAAAAAGGCAACTCGACCCTCAAAGTCGGTGATATGGCATCTTCAGAAAAAGCTCAAACAGACGCTTCCTCCTCCTGCGTCCCATCTGCCATCTATTGTGGCATCCACTCTCCTCCCGAGTCCGAGGTCGCTCTTACCCAATATCAAACCCAATTCAAGCACGCACTTCTCACCCTCTGCGCGGGGAGTTCGCTCGCGATCACGTGGCCGGATTACTCAAAAAGGCCAACGAAGCCCTAGACCGAATTCCTATCTTTTCAACTAGATAGTAGCAGCTCCTCTGGGGTTTTTACGTTGTTCGTGACTTCGTGCGGTAATTCTTTGAGTTGAGAACACTCGGAAAAAAAGTTTTTCCATTATACCTCATTATCAACTATATATCCAAAATTGTATATGTACCACATACAGCGACCAGCATGGCTAGATATGGAAAGTATCCACATGATCCAAAATGAAATCATACGTGCCGTTGCGGAACGTATCCCCCATCAGACCCACCGCATTGGCCTCGAAGTTCAGCAGCTGCCGATTCTCCTTCCACTGGGGCCATTCCGGGTAAACGCCACGGTGGGCATTGGGGTCGAGGTCATGCACGAAACTGAAGTAGTAGGTGTGGCTGGACTTGGCCGCGTAGTTGGGCCAGATCCCGTAGAACACCTGTATCAGATCACTGCCGTGGAAAGTACCGAGGATCGGGGTGCCATAGTCGTAGCTGGACAGGTAGGACCAGGTTGGCAGATTGGGTGCTACCTCGGCGGCGTAGGCCAGGAAGGCCCGACGCGTGATGGTAAAGGTGAGGTCGCCGAGGATGGCAGCGAGGCGTTTGAATTGCGGGTAGAGGTTGTTTCCGGTGCCGGTGCGAAACGGAGATCCGTAGGTCGTGGTGTCCGGGTAGAGGTTGACCAGTTCTTGGAGCTCTTCCTGGCTGGCGTCGTAGAAGAAATAGTCGGCGAGATACTTGACTAGCTCGTCGGTCGTGGTGATGTTGCCCTGGAAGAGGGCGAAAAGTGTTCCCTCGTCCTCTTGGTCGCCCACAATGAAAGGCACCTGCGCGAATTTGCCGGCCTTCCCAAGAACGTCCGGAGATGCTGTGAGCACCTTTCCATCCGGGCGTGGTAGATACGACAGGGCGATGGAGCTGTAACTCAGTAAGCCGGGAACGGAGTTCACGGCATTGAGAAAATCGTCGTACGATAGGTCTCGAAGACAGGCGAGTGTGTCGTTAGAGGAACCGCACTTGGCAGTGGAGACGACGGTGTCGTATATTGCTTGTCCCTTGACCCCGTCAACAGGATCAGCCGGTACAACACTCCCCGAGTCCATGATACCGCCTCGGAAAAGCGGTTTACCCTTATAGGTGTTGTCGCCGTCATAGAGCACCATCTGATCGAAGACCGAGATCGCACCAGCTGATTCGCCCCAGATGGTCACCTTGTCTGGGTCTCCTCCAAAGGCCGCAATGTTATCGGCCACCCACTCCAGAGCCAATCGTTGGTCCAGCAGACCAAGATTAGCAGACCCATCCTCCTTGATCTCTTTGCCGGGCAAAAAGCCGAAGCCACCCACGCGGTAGTTCATCGCAACGAAGATGACAGGCAGGTTCAAATCAACCGAAGACGAAACTAACGACGTCCCATCATACATGGACTTCGACCCAAGCTCGAATCCACCTCCGAAGATCCAAACGAGCACGGGCAATTTCGAGTCAGCGGTGGTTCCCGCCGGGCGACGAATGTCGATATTAAGGCAGTCCTCGCCGGCATTGGTGGCAACTTGTACCAGAGGATTGTCAGCGAGGATACCCAGAACTGAGGCCGGGAAATCACTGGTCGAGAAGTAGAACTGCGGGCATGACTTGGAGCTCCCGGTCGCTTGAACCGTCCCAAGTGATGTCTGGATCGGCTGTGGGGGCTTTAAGCGCAGTGAACCGGTGGGCGCCTGCGCAAAAGGAATGTTGTTGAAGACTTCCACGTTGCCAGCTTTTCCAATGACAGTCGCAGCTGGACTGGCAATGGTCACAGTTGGTGCTGCGGCGCGCGGAGCGGGCACCGCGTAAGCTACCCATGAAAGAGCAAGCCAGAGAAGATAGGGGGCCTTCATGATTGCCTGAGAGATGAACCTCAACGTTCCACAATACTACTCGGTAGGCCATCTATCTGGTGAGTTATATAGGTCTCCGTTTTATCTTCATAAACCCATTTTTGCTATGCAGCCCCTCGTCCTCACCTTCCGACATGTCCACTTGAAAGACAGGATGCCGTAGTCTGTTTTTTGCCCATGTGTCTCCTCGGTTGAAACCCATGTCTTCCCCTCTCCGCCATCGTATTTGAGAATGAGTCGCATTGGCATGATACGATCGGCCGGTCAGGAGACTGCGCCAGGCGCGACCCAAGCCGGCAAGAAGTGGAGATGTTGAGAAGCGGAGCATCCTGAAGAAGCGGTTGTTTGAAATCACACATGAACCGAGGTTTGCGACAATCTAGATGCCTTGAAAAACAGAAGGGGTGGCTGCTTTTAAGGCTGAACTGCCGGATGCCAGGATGAACGAGAGGGACCATGCACCTCTTCCCCGCTATTCTATGCGCTGGGCTGGTGATCCTTTCCATGCGGGGCAAGGAGCTCCTCCGAAGGATCTTGTCAATGCGCTTTCTTTGAGTCTTGTCAACCCTGTTAGGTGACAATTCATTCGTCAACACAGTTCAGCATTGCCTGCTTTGGGTGTCGGGTTTGCATTGCCGTTTAGCCGATTGAGTGCTGTTCCTGACCCAGGCCCAACAATTCAGTGGGGAAGTTGTGAAGAATTCAAGGTTGGTTGTTTGGGTCTCCTAGCGGACCATCCGAAAAGAGTAGAAACACATGAAAATCCAGGTTCATGGTAGCGAAAATCATCCGCGGTTCGTCGATTCTCAAAGACCGTCCGGCCCCAAAAATAGGTCTATCATTCAACCAAGGTCTAACCGTAAAAGCAGATCACGCCCCTGAAATCAAACCCATTTGCACTCAAAAAGAGGTATATGCGCCCAAGAAATAACAACATGCGACCGAAGACAATTCCCATCACTTTTCCCATCCGTTCCATCGCTCAAAATCTCCAGTGTCCAGATCGAACAGATCCAGCATTCGTCCGACACTCTGGTCGATTAACTCATCAACACCTGCCGCTTTAATGTAAAATGCTGGTACGGGCGGGAAGATAACCGCTCCGGCGCGCGTAACCTCGAGCATGTTTCGCAGATGAATCTCGCTTAGCGGCGTCTCACGCGCCACCAAAACCAGTCGCCGTCGCTCCTTGAGCATCACATCCGCCGTGCGAGAAATCAGATCATCACAGAATCCTGAGTGGATGGCCGCCAAAGTCTTCATGCTACAAGGTACCACAATCATCCCGTCCGCCCGGAACGACCCGCTCGATATCGGTGCCGCCATGTCATTGATATTGTGCACGTGGTCGGCCAGAGCCCTGACATTTGATGGATGGTAATCGGTTTCGTATTTAATCGTAGCTTCCGCCCATTTACTCATAACCAAGTGAGTTTCCACATTCAATCGACGTAGAGCAACCAAGACTTTGATGCCAAGTAACGCTCCGGTAGCGCCCGTCATTGCAACCACAATACGACGTCGACGGGGTGTGGGCGCGGGGTGCGCTGGACGGCTTTGTTCGGAGGTCATGTCGTGAGGAGGAGAGGCGGAGCGACCGGAGTTAGGCGTAGCAGTTCCGGGAAGAATTGAGCTGAACATATGGGCGAATTCAGGTATTTTGTATAAGAAAATATATGCGTGTGATGAGTAACTGTGAGTACCTGAGGAAAGACTATCACCGACGAGGCATTGCTAGATGATTATATATATCTCTCGTGGCGATCTGTCAGGTGTCTGGCAGAGGAGTTTGTTGCTTCTTCTCACACATCTCTTTGCCTCGGGCTATGGTACCACAGAAGACAAGGTGCCCCGAGTCTCCGAGGTCTCCGAGGCTGCCGAGAGGCGCCGAAAAATGAAACGGTCCAGCTACGTCATACATCCGTAGTCGGAGGAGCCGGCTCAAGAGAAATCAATCTCCTGGGAGAGATCGAACATAGGCACTTCTGCCGTTAGCGATGTGAATGCACAACGATCAGGTGACTTACCATTCATGATTGAATCGAGATAGGACATGGGCGAAAAGTCCTGCCCCAAGACATCTGGCAAGCCGTTGGGGATCCTGCACCATTGTTAGCATTTCGTCAGCCCCACAAGTGGATATGGTTCAGTGGATTACCTACCCGAATGCAGGCATAAAGGTCTCGGCCTGCTCCGGATTATTCTGTGGCCCGACGTCGCCCTCTTCCCTCTCCCGCTCCAGTGCCGTCCGCACCGCGTTTCGCAAGGTGATCAGCGCCCGAATGTGTCTCTCCGACAGCCATTGCCCGTTCTCCGAGCCCGATCTCTCCACCGAGCCCACGGAACCGGCGGCAGAAAAGACCTCAATCACCTTCTGCTGCAAGTCACGACACTCAGCATCGTTGCGCGTCTCCTCCCAAATGCAGAGCAGTAAAGTCGAGCTGATTACTGTATGCACCATGGACCACGTCCGCAGGGGCACCACGCTGAGAGCCTGAAACTCGAGGAAAGTGTTGGACGCGTCGATCAGACTGCACTTGGCGCGCATCCGCAGCATGTCCTGGGCCGAATCCCGGACTCCAGATCGCTTTAGTGCCGGTCGAGTGACTACTGAAATTGCGAAAGCAATGTGCATCTTCAATGCCAAGTGCTCCAGGTTGTGTTGCAGAGTTTTGCATTCTTGCAGGCTCTTTAGGTGAGGTTGCGCTCGTTGGCAAACGCTGTCTACCGTAGCCAGTATGTCAAGTAACCGAGAAGGCTGTTGCATCTCCATTTCACTGGCCGTAAGTATGTCCAAGGCGATCCGACAAAGAAAATGCACCATGTCCATGTAGTTCAATTCCCGCCCCGAAAATGCAGAGCCGTCGAGGGACCAGCCGGTGACAGTGACTATTGGAGGCCGATCGTAGCAAAGGCATAAGAGGCTGTCCTGCCACACAACTGTGAACCTGTAGTAGGTTAGCTTTCAAACTATGAATATTCCGGTGTGCCTCACCATAATCTTCTCGCTTTGGACTTGACATGATCTGGCAGATGGGCGACGCTCTTTTCGGTGTGAAGTCCAATGGTCTGAGCTAGACGCACTGTGCTACCAAGTAACGCCCAAGCTGAATCTGACTGACCAGTATTCTGTAGTGTGTTTCCGAGGATGAGCAGAGACTGGATAATGTCGAACGTGGGTCGGAAGAGGAAATTCGCTAGGCGTAGAGCTTGGAAGGAGCGCCTTGCTTCGAGAAGTTAGCATACATCATAAGAGACAATTGGAGATATACATACCAAAATCGAGACACAGCTCCGAGCGCTGTATATGCTCTAGGTCTGAGTAGTGTGCTCCAGCGGCCAGAGTAGCAAGGAGCAAGCTGATATGGGCAACCGACTTCTCGCTAGCCCATCGGTCGGAAATGCGAGAGGGGTCTTGTAGTTCTCCACTGGCCAGCGCATTCAGATATGAACAGAGATCCAACTCAAACCGCTCGATATCTACAAGGATAGGATTGAATGGATACGCCGATATGCGATAGAAGTGGAAGAACCTGTACGTGGTCAGAGAGAGTGACAACCCGAGAGCCATGAATGCTTACTTCAGGACCTCGGCGCGCTGGGGGATAATACGAAGCAGCTCATTCCAGCGATCACCGGGGGTTCTGAACTCCATGAACGGATAACTATGGTAGGTATTTTGGAGGCCGAGGACCGAGCCCACTTCACGAGCCATCGAACCGTTTGCGTCATGTGTACGATTACGCAGGATGGAGACCACTGAATTATCGCCAGAGTACACAAATTCACTTTCAGGGCCATCAGGCGGGAAGTTGCGAGATGAGTCAATCTGCTGCAGGTGTGAGAAGGGGGGCAGAACTGTCTGGCTTGGAGCAGGTGGCTGTGCCGGTGGCTGCAACGGGTACCCCAGAGTCGATGCATCCTGTGATGCGGGGAGTGGGTTGGGGCCGCGAGAGGCAGTAGATGAAGTGCGTCGACTTGCCCTCCGAGCACGGCCATGTTTCGGTGGGCTCGGATCATATACACAAATCTCAGGATGGCCGCGTCGGCGACAGGTTCGGCATGGCTGGGAGTTATCACATTTAACCTTGCGTTGGCGACACGGGTAGCATGCTCGAGCCTCGCGCTGAGTGCGCTTCAACTGCAGAACGCGGTCAATCTCTTGACGATCGATAGGTGCTGACATTGTTTCTCGCGGAATGCTGACAGGTAAGATGACATCTCTTGGCAGAAGATACTAGGCGGATGACTATGTGTATGACCCTTTCGCTGAAAGAGTGAGAGTGCTTGGTTGAGACGCGGCCATTCCTTCCCCGACCAGCCACGGGACGCCCGGAAGCTCGGATCCGGCTGAGTCAGCCATTTTCTCAGCAACTACGACTAGGGCTAAGAAAAGTTTAGATACAGCACAGAAGGATTAATCCAGTGAGGCATGAGACACTGAGTGGATTGTACAGAAAAAGCATGACTCCATTAGTGGCACATGTTCTGTAAAGCTAACGGCAGTTCAGGGCACGCTAATTGTCGATCGCACCAGAGCCTGCCTCAGCGTGGATATACAAGCCGAGCCGCGAGAGCTGCGCTACGTGGCTGGCAAGCATAGCGACAAACGAAAGAAGAGCACAGAGACTTTAAACTGTAGATCCAGCCCTTTGAACACTATGCTTTATCCTGCCTTTCTTTCTTGGTCAAGGACGAATGGAAACTGCAGGTTGTCATTTAAAGCTTCAAGGGGTAAGTCGTGAGGCAGCAAGTGCTCCTTTCTCGGTGCTCGGCAGCCGGTCTCGGAGCTTCGGACTGCGCGATAGCGGGGGCAATCCATTCCGCTCATTGCTACTTAAAATACTGTGTACGCTAATGGCATAAATGAACAACAATTATGCATCATCTTGATCACATGACAGGCAGTGCTAGCACTTATCGAGGTAACTTATGCAATTTTGCAGCTGAGCACGGATTTTGCGAGATAGGGGCTTAGCTGCACTGAAATCTTCTCAATCACTCTTTCAATGGATAGGTGTCATTAAAGAAACAGTGGGTCGTAAAATGGTTGTATGTTTCTGTTAGGGTGCGAACTTCTAGAGCATAGCCAGCTACTTGCAGAAGTGCAAACGCACATCTAGGCACATCATCCTTCATTGGCCAAGGCTCCTCCGCTCAAGTGTTTGAACGTATCCACCTCCTCCTTCTCAGCCTTCAAGCTCTTTTTCTTCCATTGATCATTTCCCGAATACCAATCCAGATACCAAGTCAAATCGTGCTCTCCAGAGGGAAACTCCACGTCCACAAACCCGGCCCCAAGATACCCAAACCGATTGCCGCTCCAATAAGCGACATCATAGTCGCTCAATGTCGGCCTCTGTAACAGTTCAAAATATGCCAGACGCGAACCGGGCCACACTATCACCGGCCCATCTTTCCTCCCCTGCTTGAACCAGCTGGAGCATGGATCCGCCCAGCAGGTTCGAGGAAGGAAAGTCCGAGCATGCTCAACGAAGTCCTCCACCGCGGCGGGCTTGGGACTCAGGCGACGGATATGTTGCTTGCGCATGCGCTGAATAGTCTGAATGATATAGTGTGTTATA